CTTGACTGTCCAGTTCTGAGCAACTTTACAAGTATATCAACTCCTCCAGCCTGTACTGTTGCCGACCAAAATCCCTCTGTGCTGCTTGAGAGGTTTTTTAATGCTCCAGTCAATAAGTTATCAACCAAGTCTCCTGTCTGTAGCCCATTCTGTAGCTGCTTCCAAAGCACTGGCACAACTCCCTCAGTTGAAAAAATCTTAGATCCAACATGATCCTTGGCACCACCTTGTGAAACAGCATATATGGTCTTAGCTGCAGCAACTTGGCCTTCTGCTGAGCTGGACTTGAGGAGACCAAGCAATGGTGGTATGCATCCCCCAAGCAAGACTTTAACCCTTAGTTCATTCTCCTTACAGAGAGAGCCCAAAACAGTTGCAGCCTGAATCTTCACTCCAAGTGATCCTGATCGGAGAAGAGAGACAAGAACTGGAACTGCCTGAGAGTGAGATCCAACAGCACCAAAGGCATTTTCACGTGTGTCGATGAGTTCCAGCAATTGCCTCAAGGAATGCTCCTTCTCTTGAATAGATGAGGAATTCTGCCGCAACTGTTCAATGCATTGCGCAACACTCGCCAATGTCCCATCTGGATCCTCCATGCTACTTGTACGATCCCTAGAGGTGATTTAGGCCATAAGATGGTAAAGATAGAATTATAACAGCTAATAATCATAGCATGCAAATTCAGTAAATCACCAAAGAATGTGGGATGATATATATTATCATGGACATCAACGGATCAGTACTAAAGCAGACACTCTATCAGTTATAATTCAGAAGCAACAGGAAACAAAAAGTTACAGAGGCCTACGACAGCAAAAAAAAAAAAAAAAAGCCAAGTAGTGAAAAAATGAGGCCTATGACCATAGAATCCAAGTCAAAGACACTGAAAATATCAAAGGGAAGTCAAAATGTATATTGGGTGGGGAAGCTAGAATGACAACATAGCATATACTAAGTAAATAAGTAGCAAAACTTTAAGCAGTTGTTGGCCAAAAGGAAAACTTTATGCTTTTGTCGTAAGCAAATTTCAGGCTGTTCTAAATTTAGTAAGCAACTCCAAGCACTTATCCACTTTGTTCTCAGCTCTTCTAAGTGCAAGTCCTTGCATAAAATTTACATACAATAAAGCTTACACTAACCTCAAACCCATTTTTATAACTGAATGTGGAGTTGGGGGCTCCGAATCTTGAAGTTTTGCATCCCCATTTTTTTCCTGCAATCATAGAAACATAGAAATGTAAAGATATCAAATTTTCAAATTTATTCAATTTGATTATTACTAGACATTCTTCCACAGGTGAATGAAGTAGCCATGTGAAAACAATGAAAACATGATATATGATGATTGGTAGCCATGTGAAAACAATAAAAACATGATATATATGATGATTGTAAGAAGCTACATATAAAACAAGGTATGGAAAACATAAACAAAAAAGGCAGTACAGAATGCAGTTCCAAGGATATTTTGATCAATCACAAAATATTCCCAACCCCGCTGGTTATTCCAGGGGTTAGAGAAAGTTGAAAGCATACATATATTATTTCATTTTCTCTTTCTTTTTTTTTTCTTTTTTGGGGGCAGTGGGGTTATTTGTGGTCCTGTGGACAGTAAAATGGTAGTCCGAGAATACAGCAACACAAGCAATGCATATTGTTGCTTAGCATATATCTCTGAACTAACCCTCATGGAAAGAGGCAACTTTTAGAGAAATGAGACCAACTGATAGCATTAATCCATGTTAGTGACACTGTTACCTGATATAATGACTTTGAAGAATGTATATTTGAACATTGCACCATAAATATCAGTATAAATATATTTCCCAAAAAAAAAATAGAGAGAAAAAATCCTTTCAACCAACACATCAACAATAAAATATCTGAGTCTCATCATTCAAATCTTTTCTGATTTCATCATTATTGAATTGCATTTCCAAATTGAAGGCCAGAAAAACTGTTTTCGAGCTTATAGAAACCAAATTATCTACTAGAAGGATTTATTTATTTATTACCAATCATTGCAAAATGAGATCTAAAAACAATAGAAATAATCACCCTAAACTTCATGAATGGAACATATCAGTAAATTCACACTCCATATCCTTAATGCTAAATTTCAAAAACTAAGTCTGAAAATTAGAAACGCACCATATCATTAGCAGCAAGGCCGCTACCATTGTTGGCAGCAAACCTCCAAGCCAGTGTCGCCGCCAGCTTCGCTTTTTTACTGCAAAATTCGCTGAATCTAAGAAATCTTTAGCCTCTCTCCAGATCCAGACACTAAGCGTCGTCAAAACATTAAAATAGCCTGCCAAAGAGTAAATAAAATACGTTAAATGGAATTCATATATCAATCAAATCCAGATCAAGCAAAAATCCTCATAATTGAACAATAATTCGATCTCAAAAGAACAATAAACCAATGCATCTAATAGTAGTAAACTAAAACTAAGAAAACAAGTAGAGCAATAGATCACATTTCCAACACACTAATTCTCTATTTACTTTCTTTTTCTCGGGAAACAAACAGAGACTAAATTAAAAAAAAAAAATCCACCACAATGAGCTGAATTTTACCAAACTAAAACTTAGTAAACAGCAGATCGAACTCCTATTAAAGAAAGATAAATAACAAAATTAAGAGTGGAAGCGAATTACTGAATTGAATGAAGTGGACTTGAAGAGCTTAGATTTGGACGAAACGACAGCGGATCATCAATGGCACAGAGCTAAAACAAAAAGAGAGAGAGAGAGAGAGAGAGAGAGATGAAGAAGCTTAGCAGAGGTTTGGCTTTAGTCTTAGTTTGAGTGCATATATCAACTTCGTAGAAGAGAAGCCAACAATGAGAGGATAATAGAGAGAAAGGAAGAAAGAGAAATTGAATTTTTTTTTTTTTTGTTCTTCTCTCCTTCTCTTTATGCTTTTTCGTTTTTTTTTTTTTTTTTTTTTTCTGAGAATGAAAAGGAAGAGGGAAGGTCGTGGTTTGTTTTCATTTCACTCACAGTCACAGCCCACGCATTAGCTGGACCACCGACAATTTGACAGCTCTACTTCTCGGCTCAGCTCAGCTTGGCTGCACTGTTCTAGGCTCCGTCTTTTTTTTTGTTTAATATTTTGCTTTAAAGGAAAAACAAATTTATTATAAATTTCACAATTTCATTATTAAACTTTAAGCCATAAGGCTTTTGTATCCTTCTTTAATTCGTTACAAAATATTTTCTAATCCTAATATTAAAAGAAATTAATGTAGAATTTTGGAATAGACCTTTGTGTTTTTAAGAGTTTGTTAGAAAGCATTTAAAAAACAATTGATTTATTTATTTGTTTTATTTTTATATTAAATGTTGGATAAGGTAAAATAAGATAAAGAAATCGTTTGGTTTAGGAAATATTATTTTATTTTATGTTTCGAATGTGTTAGAATTAAAATTAAGATCAAATATTTTTTATGATAGATCATATTTAATGTGTGTAAAATTAAAGATTTGATAAGATTTCAAAAGTCCAAATTATTTTGTCTTAAAATAAATATGATTTAAATTTATAATTTTATGATTATAAATATAATTTATATATTTAAATGTATTTTTATTTTTTTAAAATATAAATTTATCTAACTTATAATTTCTATATATATTTTTTATTTGTATAATTATATAGAAAAAAAAAAGAAAAGAAAAGAAATAGTATTTTGGAATGAACTTTTGTATTTTTGTGTGTGTTTTCTATTAGCTTAAAGAATGAAAAAAAAAAAATCCACCAAAGCAGCCTCAAATTTAGCCAAGCCAAATGGAAAACCCGGGTTTCCTCTCTCATAGTTGGCAGTCAATGGATATTCGTTATGCTATTCGTAGAGGACAATTAGTAGTCTTCTAGACAGTAAGATTACACCTAATAAGTATCATTCCATTCCATTCATTAATTATTAATCACTTCCTTCTAATAATCCATGCTGATTTGCTAATGCCACAACATTATTTTTTTTACTTCACTCACCAAATTCGTACTTTTTTATGCCCTTACCCCTTTTTTTTTTTTTTTTCAGTTTTTATCAACCCATTATAAATGGAATAAATGTTATCCAATTGGGGATTACTAGTTACGACACATATGGTTCTGTGAAAAAAACTTACTATGATCTTCTGATGACGAATTGAATTAAAGCCTAAACAGGTAACTTCCATAGGTTACACAATGGATACATAGTTACACAAAACATTTGGAGAAAATAAAGCTACTCTAATGTATGTTACTATAAATAGTAATGTCAGGGCCAGGAATTGTTCCAGGAAGACAGGAAATTGACAGACTTACTCTTTTGTAACTTGTAAGCTTGTCTCTAAAGCCAGAATCAGACTATTTCTTTCTTTTCATAATTATTTCAAGATTTTTTTTTTTTTTGGGGGGGGGGGGGGGTGTGATGGGGGAGATGGGTCCTGAAGATTTGGACTTTATACCAGCCATTAAAATAGTTAACTTGTTGGGAACATGAAAATCATAGCTGAAATTGGTTGAGTTGTAGCCTCACTTTGGAGTGGGTTTTGGCCTTTGGGGCCGCCTTGTTTTATATTAATATATTTAGTAATTTCCTCCTAATGTTGTTTATTACTATACATTTTCATCGAAGTTGATTTCTTACCTCTCATGATTGAAGACTCCAAACTCATAAACCCAAAAGAATGAAAATTTTCAATCAGTGGGGTGGGGTTAGTTATGACTTAAGAAGGTATGCATGTTTCTTCAACTGCAATTTTCTGAAAAATTTTGATAAATGAATATTAGATTTATGGAACAGAAAAAAATTTATTATAATTACATTTACAATGAGGTCATGTTCATCAATTTCACCTCAAATTAAAATTCATGACAGTGATGAAGCTTAATAAAAAAAAAAAAAAGCACCTCATGTTTTGGAATCTTGAAGCACATGGATACAAAATAATTCACTACCTATTTTATAACAATGCACTAATGCAGCATGTGTATTGTTTACTATTTTCTTTGAATAATGTTGATTATCAGAGCTCAACAACCAAAACCCAAAAATTATATGGGATCATAATATACAAACACAATAATTAAAGCCAATAATCAATTCAGTGATTTAATAACCAAATTAGGCTGTAAGTAACAAAACAAATTATGAATTAGTTGATAGGTATATACCTTCTACATAAAGAAAGCTGAAAAGTTCCGTTTGCAGTTGGTTGCAATGGCCATTCTCATCACAGCAATGCAATATGCTGAATCAGAGTTAGGTTGTTATAGCATAAGATGAATATTATTTATGTCAATTCAGCTGGCAACAGGTAACTCTGAATATTGAAACACTGCAAAAAGTTGAGAAACATATGTTCAAGAAAATGACACATCAACCATACAAATTACAATCTTCATAAGAGATCAAGAAATTCGCTCTATATTACCGCTATTGTTTGCAATAATCATAACTTTATTCCAACATGAAAGGCTATTAACAGGATCTTTGTAGAGATGAAGAAATATGAACCTTTTCACTGAAGGAAAACATAACTTTATTTGGAGGATCATGGACCATCTCCGCAATTTGGAGAGAAAAAAAAAAGCATAGTGAAGCTTTGAAGAACTTTTTTGTTAAATAGGTTGCCCAAAGCAAAAGGACCACTTTGCTTGCTGTGTATATTGGCTAGGAAAGCAAGAAAATTCTTTAGCTTAACCACTAATTCAATGAGGTTTGTCAGTTCCATACCCTAGGCATTGTTTGAGCCAAATATTCAGAACTGAGAAATCAGGTAAGACTGATGCAAGTAGCATATGATTGAAGTATTGTTAACGCTTGCTCTGTAATGGTCCTATTTCTCACTCGTTTCACCCAATCACCAACGATCTCCTCTGCTTGGCTACCTTTGACACCTTGTTCTAAGGCGGCTGCTGCTTCAGCGAGCTTTCCTTCAGCCAAGTAATTGTCAACTCTACTGATTAAAGATTCAATCCCTTCACCAGATTGGTCAACTTCCTTCACCTAAAAGGTAATCAAAGGCAAGCATGAGATTATTTCAGCAACTTAGATCTATTATTATGTGAAAGGTAAATCCCATTCTTTTTATACCTTTAACCAGGATGCAATATGTGCTAAAGAATGCGTCAAGATGCCACCACCACCAGGCAGAATTAGGCTGAAGTGCCTTAGGGTCCCTTTCAAGGCATTAAACTGCAAGAACATATATCAAACAGTTTATCAACAGCTAAAAGATGCCAGGAATATCGATTCTCCCAGCTTTTATTTTTTGGAAAAACTAAGATTTTGTATACTTTTAACTTGCCTCTATAAAAGTATTTAAAATTCTAAGCTTCCATTCAATGAAAAATATCATGCCAAAAGTAAATCATACAATTATTGCATAGAATTCTGCATCGGCACACTATCAACCATGTAACCAAAAGATTTTATCATCTGAAAGGACTAGGAATTCACTAGCATATATTTTTAAAATCACGAAACAACCTGCCTTTTGATTCAACTCTAGCAGAGTGTCTGTTCCATGGTACCGAGTTTCTTCTGGAAGAGATGAAAAGACCAAATCTAATGCTGAATCCTTCTCAATGCCTTCAAGGTAGGTGCGCAGAGCATCTATTTCTTTCTGGATTGGTAATCCTTTAGAAAGTGCATCACCTAGTGCAAGCACTCCCTGTAGGACCCAAGAACAATCAAGTTATGGGGTAAATGGTAACAATTTACAAGTTGAGACAAATTATTACTAGGGCTATCAATCATTACATAGCATAACTCAAATTCCTACTAAAAGTAAAAATAACAATGAAGTAAAGTGGAGAAGGTACCAAAGCAAGCTTGTGAACAGAATGAATCTTGCATGCTTCTTCAGATCGTGCATAAAATGCCACACATAAGGCATTTATCTACAAAAGAATAATTCAAGCCATGTTTAGGTTCTCTAACACAAAAATAGTGCTGAATGGCTAATAACAATTAGTACTTATTGATTATGAAAATAATTACTCGAGCATACATGAAGCATTAAAACACTTGTTTATTGCTCCAACATCAGATTCATCTAAGCAACAAACAATAAACTGAGAAATGCATATACAATTAATGTTTGTAACTGATAAACAATAAGCAGTTTCCAATTTAGAAGAATCTTTTAACTTTAGACATACTCATTCATCCTCAAATGATTGTTCATGTTTGATTTGGTTCTTTAATATTCAAAGAATATATCAGAAACTATTCTAGCTTTCATTTCTTTCTTCAAAATAGGTGTCCTAGTTAAACCTCATTCTGGTTGGAAATGTCATTAACTGTTTAGATTGTCAACCAACACATTCCAGCAAATGCTCATATTCAGAAAATTTTAATGGCAAAATATTTGATTTTCAGCTAGAAATTGCAAAAGAGGCTAGTTAATTTGATTGTGATCAATGATCACTTTTGATGAGTTCAATTTTCAACACAATGGATTTTCATTTTGCAAGTATAACTTAAATATATTTATATACTGCACACAATGTCTATAAGACACATGGAGCATCGACATGCAGAATACAGAAAGTATGGAAGTTGATACTGCATTAAACTGAAAGCTAAAAGCATTGATGTGTGACATTTTGATTGTCACTTTGCCTTGTATGCTATATGCCCCAAAGTAAGAGCCCAGAGGTTTTATATTCCAACCCATTATATGAGAAAAATCTTGTGGCATAACTTTTAAATTTCCTTATTCCATCTTTTATCAAATGCTATTGAAAAAAACTTTCTAGTCCATTTTTTCATCCTAAAAACTAGCTAAGTTAATTTTTGTTCAGATTCTCATTAAAAATTTCCACCAGAAGATAGCTTACATGAAAATTTGCTTCTGCAATTTTTTCAATCTGTGCTGCTTTCTCATTTGCAATCGCTGCAGCCAATTCTGCTTTTCCTAGTTCCTGAGCTTTTTGGAACTTCATTTCAGCTTCTCTTTCCTACAATGACCAAGAACTAACAACTTGAATTCATGAGTTACAAAATTACACTATAGAATTTCTTTGTTTGCATAAAACTATGTACCTTTTCTTCAACTTCCACCCTAAGTTTCTCTTCCATTTTTTCTTGAAGGGATTTTATAGCAGCTGCTGCTTTTGATCTTTCTCTCTTTAATTCCTGATAGTGGCAAGTCAAATTCTTAGCAACTTGAATCCACAAAATAATATAATCACCTCTCTTTTCTTTTACTTGATTTTTTACCCCATTGTAGTATACTCCATCTGTAACTGAACTGTGACTTTCCATGGTAAATACAGCAAAATAAGCATGGTCATCAAAATCCATAATACATAATCATGGAATAGCTTAAGTTGATTAATGAAAATACTAATGTAATTTCATTAACTAGCATAAAAATTCAGAGAAACTGACTGGGACCAATCTTCCCAGTTTAATTCATTTTCGGCTTTTGTTATGCCTTACAAACAGATAGACAATTGTTCCAAACTGATATAAATAATACTTACTTGCCTATTGTCACAATACACACAAAACAGGAAAAATCCAAATCTGCAAATATGAAAAAAGGTGGTGTAACCTTAAAGAAAAATATGAAAACAGCTATAACCTTATCCAATATGGCTGCCTCTTCTGTATGCATTAGTTCCCTGGCTCTTGAATCCCTTAATTCCTTTTCATATTTCTCCTAAAGAGAGAAAAAAAAGAAAAAAGAAAAAGCATTAGCAAACAGTGCGCCATGACTAAAATGAAACTGCAGAAATTAAGAATCCAGATACTTTGTATTAGAACCTATAGGTCAAACTTCAGACCTTCAATGCTCGCTTTTCTTCAGCAAAAGCATGTGCATCCAGCTCAGCTTGCCGCTTTTCAGCAGCATGAATGGCTTGTAGGAAGTCAAGAACTAATTTTCCATCCTTCGATAAATATCCGTCGTTCAGTTCCTCAATTGCTGTACCAAAAGCCTAATATGTTAAAAAGAATGAAAACCTAGTGTTAGTTGACACTCTCGCTTATCATATGCATCAAACAACAAATAGCAGATGTAAATAACCTCTGTTTCTTTAGAAAGCTGCTCATATTTTCTGTTTAGAGAAGTCAAATAGCTTTCATCTGCCTTTTCCCTAAGGTTATAGGTATCAAGAAGAGAACTTGGAACTTCTAGATCTTTATTTGATTTGCCCTGCAGCAAAGGAACATCAAATGTGGTTTTGTACCAAGTCTGATAAAGATTAGGAAGAAAGTACATACACACACATACATATATATTTATATGAAGTGAATACAAAGAACAGGAGCTGGCTGTGCTTTTGCCACCTCAATGACAGTCTTCCCCATGCACACAACATAAAAGAAGCTTTAATCCCTCAGATGTTGCAATCCTAAGCCAGGCTCTTGGAAGATCAAACCCCCTATAAAGCCTTTCCTTGCCTAGATAATAAACAAGGAAATGCAAGTGGTTCTTTGTCATCCTGAATCATTATACACACACACACACACACACAAAGAACAGCATCTAGTCGTGCTTTTGCCACCTCACTTGACAGTCTTCCCCAATTAAACACAAAGACATAAAAGAAGCTTCTAATCGTCCAGATGTTGCAATTCTAAGCCAGTCTCTTAAGGGATCAAACCTCTCTATAAAGCTTTTCCTAGCCTAGAAAATAAATAAGGAAATGCAGTGATTCTTTGTCATCCTGAAGCATTAGCAATGTCTCCACAAACAGTGGACAGCCTCTGAATCATTAGCGTATATGTTTACACATAAAGCAGAGAAAGCCTTCCAACCATACTTTTTTCCCCTTTAAACCAACAATGTGCTACAGAACATGATAAACACAAGATGCATTTCAAATTTAAGAAAAATCAGACAATGAGAACATGTAAAATCATGGAGACAAGGAAAATTTTCAATAAGTTTCATTGACCAACCGCCAAAGAATAACAATGGCTCATGTAGCCATTCTGAAAGGTTACAAATCAGAAACAACATAAATGTTGGGTGTTAAGAAGAGAAACTTATGAAGGGAAATGTCTGATGTAGTGGGATACAGAGATGGCACAGATTTTATTAGGCTTTCTTCAGGGTCTAAACTAGGCGCTTATACACTTTACTTGGTTCATCTTGCAATAGCAGAACACTAAAAGTGGGTCATATTGAACCTGTGCAGTATAACTACACTTAATAAAGAGAGTATTTTTCCAGTATTAATTTTTAGGAATGTACAATAAGCCTAGAGGACAGGCTGGTAGTGTTGTTGCTGCCTCACTTGACACTCACCATTTAAAAATGCAAAGGTAAACAAAGAGCTTCAATGCTTAGCAAGTTACAACAGTTAAGCCAGTCTCTTTGTGAATGAAATTTCCACAAAAAGTGATGCCCTGAATAGAAAACAATAAAAGGCACCATGGTTCTCTGGCATCCTGAAACATTTCTTTATGCACCCATGCATACAATTAAGAAAGATTGCTAGATAAAAAGGCTCGGGTAAATTATATTGAAAAAAATATGAACATTCATAGATTCATACTTGATGTGCCAATGGTGTTTGTTGGCAAACAAGTGACAATCACTGTCATAATTGACTTGTGGAAAGGTAGGAATAGATTAGTAATACTGTACAAACAATAACAAAGTGATCTATATTGTTTAGTAATAGAAGAATAATGGCTTGCGTATGCATTATTCCAAAAAGAGTCCAAGAGATCAGTATCAATATAAATATAGGGTGCAGAAAAAAGGGTACCAGCGGCCTGTCTGCGGTATTAAGAGATGGCACAGTTTTTGTCTCCTTTTCTCCAAGGAATGCAATTGACTGGGTATCCAATGGAATATCCTGAAATTCCTTGTTTGGTACCGTTGCAGTTTCAGACTCAATCTTTTTGAGATTCCCCTCAGCTGATACAGCAGCATCTACATTGTGATCAGCAGATGGCAAACTGCTCTGAGAATATTCTGGCAATGCCTTTTCCGGTATGGATCTTGTGCTTTCTCCAAGTGTCTCATTCGACTTGTCTTCCACATTAGACTGGTTTTCACCTTGGGTTTCACTCGACGTTTCAGACTGAGAAGAATGATCAATATGAGTTGCAGCTTTTTGGTCAGGAGTCAATTTGTTTATATCTTCATTATGAGAAGAAACAACTTGGTTATCCTTTTCATCTTTCCCATCAAAACCAATTTTCGTTGAATCAATAGAAACCTTGGGGCCTTCGCCAAGATATTGATCTAAATATCCAGCTTGGTAAGCAACCAAGACAGCACCACCAATAATAGCAGTTCCAAGGACAACTTTTGAAAACCCATTCTTCGATTCAGGTGGACCTCCGGCTGAACCAGGTTTCGGAGTAGCATTGTTTCCGGGAGACGTCGAGAATCGTTTTCTTGAATAAATAAACGTTGATGAACGCTACATTTTCACCATGCATTATAAAAAGACCAATTATAATAATAGAACACAGGAACTCGAAAACTGATACTGAAACTTAAAACAGTTGAATTTACCTGGGATATAATTTGCCTGGGAATTCTCCGAGGAGACCCTCGGCGACTTGATAATTCCAAAATTGACCTTCGAAGCATGATGCTGGTTTTTCCCTTTTTCTTTTGAAAGTATTTTGCGGTGACGGTGTTTGTGAAAATGACTGGGAGAGGAAGTGACAGTCTTAAGGGAGGAGTCGCGTTGGCGTTAAGGCGTCGGTGTTGAAACAAATTGTCTTTGGTTTAAATCTTTCACGGGGTGGAGCCAAGACTCAGGATCGCTTTCCCGGGCAGCCGAGGCGGTTGACCGCTTACTATAATTGGCCATACGTTATATATTACTGACGCCATCCCCTTTTTTTTTAAATGAATATTTTTAACCTTTAAACATTTTATTTTTTATATTCTAAATTTTTTACTTTTAATATTAAAAATCTTGAAATTTTAATTTTATAAAAAATAATTTTAATATTAAATTAAAAACATTAAAATTAAAATTTTTTTTATTAAATTTTATAAAAATGAATACAATCTATATATTTTGAGACAAAAATATATATTATTGATAAGATCTATCACTTAAATACTTATATTATAATTGTTGGATCATATTTAATTTTAATTTTTTTACCAATAAACTCTTTGATAAAGAAATACTTATATTTATAATTAAATAAAATATTTAAATACTATTTTTTTTTCATTATATTTTATTTTGTTAAAATAAACTCTTGAAAGTTTTCGATATTTAAATAAAAATATTCGTCCCATAAGGCAGTGTGGGCAAAATTTCTAGTAATATTGAATTGAGGAAAATAATTCAAAAATAAAAAACATATTCTTTTCCATAGGTAAAAATTAATAATTTGAATATTTTACTAATTAATCTATAATTAAAATATTTGTGGTATATCTATTTTCTTTAAAAAAAAAAAAAAAAAAAAGGAGCTTTGAATGTCCATCTTTTGCTTTAGGTCTCAAATTTATATCCTCTTCTCTTTTTGGACACACAAATTTTAAATATTGTACATGAGCAAAAAATTTAAATTTTTTTAATATTTTACATGTACTAAAGAAAAACCCTTTTAAGGATGCACTCGCAAAAGTAAAACAAAACAGGGCAAAAAGTGTAATTTCTGTAAAAGATAAACCATCACGTAAGTTAAGCATTGAATGATTTGAATCCCCCACCACGGAAAGACATAAGGGCAATTTGGGCATCTGAATAATAACCAAAATCAGTATTTCTAGAAGACTTGGCCTCATCTTTTTCTTATTCGATATAACCAGACATCAGTTTTTTAAAACCCTAATTTCACCCCTTCTTCTGCCCTCATTTTTCTCTCAAAAATCAAAACAAGAAACCGAAATTATATCAAATAGAAAAAAAAATCAATTTCTCATCAACTCTGACTCATAAAACTCCTTTTTAATTTTCCGTTTATATTTTTTTGTTGTTTTTCTTCTCACTTTTTCCTTGTTTTTAGATAACTTTGTCTTTGGTGAAAACTAGGGTTTGCTCCAATGTTGGGTTTTGTGTGTTGAAATTAGGGCCTTTTCAGATAAATTTTCACTTTTACCTTTTAAAGGAAGTGTGGGCTGTCGTGGCTTCCCAAATATATAATCCTGTGAGTATTCTCTCTTTCTTTTATATCTGCAAGCATTTTTTTATGGGTATTATTGGATTTTTTTTGTTTATGATTGATTTTTGGAATGATTGTTTGGTTTCATTAGTTTCTCGATGAAGCGGCATTTTAGTTTTTGTTGGTAAAGAGACTTTTCATTTTTGAAAATTTTAGGCTGGAAAATGGTTGTTTTACTGTGTTCTATGTCTTAATTTTGTTGGGTATTGGGGCATTATGGAATTACGATATTTAGTGGGTAGCAAGAACTTAGGCGGCGTTTGGTTTCAGAAAATAGAGTCATCTTTTGTTTTCATTTTCTTGGAAAATGAAAAACACGAGTGAAACGTGTTTGATAATTGAAAATAAAAACAGATTTTTAGAAAACAAAAATGAAAATGGATTGAAATATGAAAATAAAAAAAGATGTTTTCAATTGGGAAAACAGTGGATTTACATTACTTTTTTCCTTGTGTTTTGCATTTTATAAGTTTACCATATTTGAACACTTTTTAATGTCATTAATTAATAAATATTTATTATATTTATAATTAGATGCCATAAATATTAATACAATTGAATATTTTATTTATTTTCTTATTTTCGCATTTTTAGAAAACAATTTTTATTTTCATTTATCAAATACATTTTTAGAAAACAAAAAATAGAAAATAAAAACTATATTCTAAAAAATGAAAATAAAATAAAAAATAAAAAATTTCCTCAAATCAAACAAAGCCTTATATTCTTGAAAAAAACGAATGATTTTCTTCACCACTTCATGAATAAAGTTTTTGTAGTAAATATTACTCCATTAAAATGGGTTTATCCTATAAATATATATATATATATATAGACACACATTTTACCACTGATTTCCCAATGAGTTTCTAGAAAAGACAAATGTATTTTTTGACTTATTTGGGGGACCAGGGGAATTTGCTGTTGTGGATATTTTGTCCTGGAAAACAAGATAAAGAGTTAATTTGTGGTGTTAGAAGTTTTGTGTTAACTTAATGCTTTTGGTTCTTATTATTATTATTATTATTTTCATCATCATCTTTCATATTCTTCATGAAATTTTGCAATTCTTAAGGGTTCAATTCTGGGGAATGATTTTCTTTGCTTTCCTGCATTTATTGAAATTGCTTAAACTGCTTGACATAATGCCTTTGGGTCCGTTCACTATGGCTTCTAACTTATAACTATGATTTAACTTCCTTTTTTTAATTTCTAACATGTTTTGTTTGGCCTTGTTTCTATCAAACGTGGGTGTCTCTTTCTACTGCACATATTTTTCTAGTATCTTGTCTTTTTGGATTTTCTGGGGAATGACTGTGTGAGATGTTTTCAACTAGGTTTTGAAGGTGAGTTTTGGTTGGAAAAGATGTCATCAAGGTATCAAATACTTGACAATCGACCAATTGATCAATGGAAGGTCACAGAGTTAAAGGAAGAACTTAAGAGGCGGAAATTGACAACTCGGGGCTTGAAAGATGATTTGGTAAAACGGTTGGATGAAGCGCTTCGAATTGAAAGGGAAAATACTGCAAAGGAGGCAGATAATGGTTTTAATTCTGATCCCCGGCCTATGGTTGAGGAAGGGATTGAAAAAGCAATGCCAGTTGTTGCTGAGACAGCTAAAGATGTTTTGGATCATGGTGGCAGTGGGATTGAGAAGGGGAGTGGGTTCAAGGTTCAGGTTGACATTAATGATAGTGCAGCTGCTTTGGGTCATGGAGGAGTTCAAGGAAGGGACATAGTGGTGGAAGAGGAGCCTGTTATTCAAACCACCACTGTTCAGACTGAGATAACAGTTACCAAGCCGGTAGTATCTGAGGTACCATTGATTAGACAAGATATGCAGAGTTCGGGACAGGAGGAGAATGTGTATTCTAACATCCAAGTAGCGTATGACAATCAGAAGCCCCAGGTGGAGAATGAGGATCCAAATACCCGGGTGGAGAATGAGGTTCCAAAGCCCCAGGTGGAGAGTGAGCATCCTAAGCCTGAGGTGGGGAATGATGATCCCACTGCCCATTTGGAGAGTGTGGGTCCAAAGCCTGAGGTGGAGAATGATGACCCCAAGGCCTTGCTGGAGAGTGTGGGTTCAAAGCCTCAGCTGGAGAATGATGATCCAAAGCCCCAGCTGGACATTGAGGATTCAAAGGCCCAGCTGGAGAATGAGGATTTAAAGGCTCCACATGAGGATGACAAGTGTGACTTTTCTGCTCCAAACAACCAGGTATCTGAGGTCAGCCCTATTTTAGGGTTTCAAGTAAAATCTGATTCTATTTCTACTGATTCTGTGTCAATTAATGAAAAGATTGAACTAAAGGATAATATAATTGCTGATAATGTCAAATTAGACCTAGATGTTGTTAAGCCTTCCAGCAGTTTTGTCCCAATTAGTGGTGAATCACATCCAATGGATGTTGAAGATCCACTTGAGAAGAAGGCATCTGTTGATGAGAGAGATGACAATAATGTTACAAATGCAGACATGAGCAATAAAAATGACAGTGCAGAGATAGGGTACTCAGAAAAATTAAATTTAGATAGAAGTTCGGGTGATGACTCTATGGAGGAGGATGTGCTTGAGAGTAAACAAATTGATTCAAAATGTAGTACTCATGAAATTGGAGAAAAGAGTGAGAAAAATGATGCACCTATTATCAAGGAGGAAAGTCCTGTTGATGTTGTAGGAGATGGTTTATCTGCAGATAAAAAGGACTTCTTTGTTGAGAACAAGAGCCATTCTTCTGTTCCTGTCGAGAAAAGAAAGCTTCATGGTAAGTAACAATGGATTGCAATTGTAACCATCCTTTCTTGCATGTCTCTGTCCAGTTTTAACCATCTCTTTTTGCATGTCTCTGTCCATCTACTTTACCGAGCATTTTGAAGCTAAGGCAATAAGTTAAAAGTGCTTGTATTAAACTGGCATGCAGAAGACAGCTTATTTAGGTTGGTCTTTTGAAATTTGCTCTGGGTCAGTTGTCCTGTGGAATGTGATGATTTTGTTTAATTTTTGTATTCAATAGTTTGTAGATATAGTTTCCTTCCGATGGCATGTGCTTTCCATATTCTGAGAGAGCTTTATTTGTTACAACACTGCTTTTGGTGTTCAGGTTAATATCTCTAGTTTTTTTCTAAAAATTGCTATAATGTTCATTCCTATACTTTTCTATGTTGGTTATTGCCACTGCCTGGACAACAGAATTTCTTGGGCAATTCTCACCTGATGAGCTGTGTTTACAGATCAGGAAGCTTTTGGGAACAATGAGCCTTCAAAAAGGCGCAAATGGAACACTGACAATATAAAAGCTCCAGAGCAGCAAGGCATTAATCTTACACCCACCACCACACCTAAAGACACTATGCACTCTGCTGCTTTGAAACGTAACTTCTCTAGATCAGACTCCACTGCTGGTGAAGATACACCCAAGGAACGAGTTGGTGAGTTGTCATTTCTCAGTCAGATATAAAAGGAATTCTATCAATTGTTTCTTTAACATCTAAAAGGTTTCTGTTTCATGTTTCCCATTTGGCAGTTCCACCATCACAAAAACCTACAACCACTTCTCTCAGAATTGATCGTTTTCTGCGCCCTTTTACCTTGAAAGCTGTGCAAGAACTTTTAGGGAAGACTGGGACCGTCACAAGCTTCTGGATGGACCACATTAAGACCCATTGCTATGTTACTGTAAGACTTATTTCTTTGTTTCTAACTCCTATTAACTCCTATCTTTTTTGTTTTATATATAAGAATCTTACCTACCCTGAGACTTTTGTGGTCTGTTGATTAATTTATTTTTTATATTTGTCTGTTGATTAATTTTTCATTTTGACATCTGTGAACTCTATATGTCGGGCTGATTTAGTAGATCTAATCAACTAGTTGGGGAATTATCTTTTTATGCAGTATTCATCTGTGGAAGAAGCAATAAAGACAAGAAATGCCGTTTATAACCTGCAATGGCCACCTAATGGTGGACGTCTATTGATGGCTGAGTTTGTTGATCCTCAGGAAGTTAAAATTCGGCTGGAGGGCCCACCTCAGACTCCAACTACCCCTGGGACTTCTGGTTCTACTGCTCCGCAAGCTCAACCTATTTCTCAGCCCCAGCCCTCTCCGCGTCAACAGGTTTCTAGACAGCAGCTTCCACCGCCTTCTGCACTTCCACCACCACCCCCTTTGTCTAACCCACCACCAGTTAGAGAACGGCTTCCTCTTCCACCACCACCTCCAGAGAAACTAGATCCTCCTATTGTCACCCTGGATGACCTGTTTCGCAAAACCAGAGCAACTCCTCGGATCTACTATTTGCCTCTGTCAGAAGAACAAGTTGCAGCAAAGCAAGTAGCTCGTGGCAGAAACACCAAGCAGTAGGGATCAGGCTATAATTTATCCCTGGCTGCTCTTCGGGTTTTCTTATCGGGTGGTCCGAATGTAAGATAATGGTAAGAAAGTCACATTTCCATCTTTGCAGGTCTGCAGGTGCTGCTTATTGGAAGGAACTATTCCAGCCATGCGAAGGGAACTTTTTTGGTGATGGATTTTGGCTTTCTGAAGGCAGTTTTGGGCTGAGTTTTTAGTTTCATTCAGCCTTAGAATCTTTCAAACCTAGGACTCTCTTTAGTTATGAATTTAGTCTCATTTGCTCGTATTTTGTTTCCCTATGGAACAATAGTCCCAACTTTTATGAACCTAATTTTGTAGAATCTAACTTCTTCTGGATGATGTTCTGCATACATTTGTTTAAGTAATGTGGAATCCCCAATATTATTATTAAGGTCACTAATTCAATTTATGCTATGGTTTAGCTGTACGTGTAGATTCGAGGTTCCTAGCTTTGGAATTACTATTCAAAAGACAGGCATGGTGGCCTGCCGGGGCTCTGTGGATCTAATAAGTAAGCACATTTTAACATTTAATGCTACGTGACTTTGAGTTAAGCTCAGCTGATGTCACCGCCCAAGCAAATATCTAATCACAATCTCTGTAATTTACCTTGCATTTTCTTCTCAAAATCCATAACGTATTGTTAATGGGATAATTTGTGGATAAGCTTGATCCTTTTGGTGCGAAGAATGAGTAGTTTTTAAATACTAAACGTTAGGACCTATTTAACACTTCAAAATGCATCGGATAGACCAATTCAGGCCTATAAGTCTTTGTAACATACCTTACAAAGTTATCTCAAAAGATCATGGTTCAAAGACTAAGACCTTTTTTGGATAAGTGAATTTCACCTCTCCAAACTCACTTTGTTCTTGGCAAAAACGGTTGTGATAACTGTACTATCATTCAGAAATTTGTCCACCCATTTAAAACTAAGAAAGAAGGATTGGGACATATGATAGTTAAATTGGACCTGAAAAAAAGCTTATGACAGGCTTGAATGGGGATTCGTTAGGAAGATGCTTACCTTTTTCAATCTACCAAAGTCCTGGATTTTCTTGATCATGAGTTATGTCTCATCCTCATCTATTTCCATTTTGATGAATGGAAGAATGCTGAAAAAATTCAAGCCTTCCAAAGGTTTGAGACAAGGGGATCTTTTATCCCTTACCTCTTTATTTTGTGTATGGAGTTTCTAAGTTTAAAAATTCTTAAAGCTGTAGAAGATCATAAATGGCAACCTACTAAAAGTTCACGAAATGACCTTGTGCTTTCTCATGTTATATTTGCGGATGACATTATTCTTCTAGGTAGAGCAGAAGGAAAAACTGCCAAGTCCATCCATGAGGTACTCATGACATTTTGTGGTGAGTCTGGGCAGACCATCAATCTGAAAAAATCCAAAGTTTTTTTTTCTACCAACACTAAACAATACTACAAAAAGGATATTACTAACCTTTTGGGCATTAACGAAACCCTTGATCTCGAAAGATACCTAAGTTTTCCTATCCATAAAGGGAGAGTTAGTAAGAATGATTATGCTTTCATTATCAACAAGGTCAGAGCAAAGTTAGCTGGTTGAAAAGTAAATATGCTTTCTCCTGCAGGAAGAATGGTTCTGATCAAGTTGACTATGGAAAGCATCCCCAGTTATTATATGCAATGTAGAGCCCTTCTAGTTAGCATTTCAAATGAGTTGGACAGGGTTAACATGGATTTTCTATGAAGGAAAGACGAGGATAAAAATAGATTGCACTTGCTTAACTGGAGCGAAGTGACCAAGAAAAAAAGTGAAGGTGGACTGGATTTGAGGGAGACTCAAGCTCAAAATCAAGCACAGTTAGTTAAATTGGTTTGGAGATTTCTTCATAAAAAAAAAATGCTTGGTGGGTTAAAATGCTGAAAGAAAAATATCTCTAGGAAAACAACACTTTGATAAAAGCTTCTAAAGTATCGACGACATGGAAAGCCATGAGATGGATAGGTTTGATTGTTGAAAAAGGTATTGGTCGGGTCATTGCTGATGGCTCATCTACAAGCTTTGAGCATGATAATTGGTTAGGGTTTGAGAGTTTGAGAAATGCTATTTTTGGCTCTCTTAATTGACAAGAGGGTCAAATTTCAGTGAGCCAGTGTCTGAATGCATTAAAAAATAATCAACCTCTTCTAATTTCTTTCAAATCAATGCTGATATTCTAGATAACATAAATGATATCCCTACTCAACTGAAGGGACAAGGACAAGATAGTATATGCTGGTCTGCATCCTCTAGTGGGGTATTCACTACCCAATCTGCTTATGACCTTACTAGAGGAATAAGTCTAAACGAGAATAAAGGTCAATGGGAATGGATATGAAAGTTGCGAGCTCTGCCAAAAATTAAGTTTTTCATCTGGCAATACATGCACTGTATCTTGCCTACACATAATGAGCTTGCTAGAAGAGGGTTGAACTTCCTAACTACTTGTGTGTTTTGCATGCATGACTGAGAGGATTTGGCACACCTATTTTACAATTGCTAGTAGACCAAAGACATATAGGCTACTTTGCGATGAGCCTCTTTGCCTCTATCCCATTGAATCCTAGACTGTAGACAATAGATCAAAGAAAATGCTTTAAACAAGCATTGATCCATGCATGGTATCCCTGGTACATGTTGTTTATCCATATTTTATGAGAGATTTGGCTTGAAAGGAATAGAAGAAATTGTAGACAGAATGGTGAGACCATTGACTTGGTGAAATTGGTGATTGCAAAGGCTGTTAAATTCTTTACGATGAACCAGATAGGAGTTCAGGCTCCGTTGCAATCCTTTATGTCCATTAGGCGGAACCCTCCCAATGACGGATGGTATAAATTGAACACAAATGGCTCGACATTGGGCAACCCTGAGAAAGCAAGAGTTAGAGCCATCATTCGAGATAATGAGGAAAAATGAATTTCTGGTTCCTCTAGATATATTGGGGTGTGTTCAAATATTTTTGCTGAATTGTGGGCTCTCAAATATGGATTATTTTTGGCAAAAAAACTCAATATCCATTGTTGAAAATTGAACTCGATACCACCATTGCTATCTTCATGATTAAGAATCACCAAGTGACTAATCCCATAGTACCCCTTCTAGTCTCTGATTGCAAGAAGTTGATGAAAGATCTTAAGATCAATGCATGCTTCACGTGTTTAGGGAAAGGAATAGGTGTGTTGATGCCCTTTGCCCGGTTTGGTAGTAGTTGTAATAGTTCTCGTCATTACAAGGTCAATTATGTGGTGTTTAGAGAACCTTATTCCTTTGTTAAAGATTTAGTCCTCGCCGATGAAGTCGAATATGTTATGTATCGTACTATTTTATAATTAATTCATTCATGTTTTTTACCTAAACAAAAAAAAAATGCATTTCACCAATTGTATTTTAGATAATATGGTAAATGAATTGGTTCCCTAAAATCTGCATAAATTTTTTTTGGCACATGTCATATTGGATTACGCAATTCAGTTAAGTGGGATCTTTCAATCACAATTTTTTTTTATCAAGAACATTTTATATATCTCTTGGACCTCTAAATTCAGAGTGTCCTACTCACACATAATATAGCTTTTCTTATATCAGGTTAACAATTGAAATATGGTTAAAAGATTAAAAAGAAAACTCTATGTAATTCTGCATAAATCTCTTTATCGAGAGAAAGAATTGGATTTGATTATATAATATATGGTTGGTATTAGAGGTGTTCATAATTTGATTTTAATCAAATTAACCGAGTGAATCAATTTAATTATATTAATTGATCAGTCATTGAATTAATTTTGATAGGCTAACAAAAATTATTTTAAAAAAAAATTAGTTTTCGATTAATTCGGTTCAAAAATTAAATTAATCGAAATTTAACAGAAATATAATAGAATCTAAATATAAAATGAAAAAAATAAAATAGATTATTTAATTTCATAAGTTATTAGAATTTTTAATATAATACTTTGATATTTAAGTATTTTATTGGATAATTTTATTTAATTTATTTAAAATATAAGAAATTAAAAATTAAAAACATAATTTATTTAAATGTATTTATTATTCATTTAACTTAAAAAATTAATCGAACAATTAATTTTTGAAAATTATAAATTCAATTCAGTTAACGAAATAAAATAATATAATTTAGTTAATTTAATTTAAAATTAATTAAACCGATCGAATAAACACATTTAATTAATATATAAAAAATGACTTTTTTAACAAGATACAAAATTTTTCATCAAATATTTTATATGATTTCACATTATTTAATTTCAATTAAGTAACAGATTATAAGTAATTGAAAGGATATTTTCATCGATACAAAGACAATTTCAATTCCATTAATAACAAAGATTCAAAATATGAAAAGTAATTCTCCTTTGTTACATAAATTTCTCTTGCTCATTTAAGATAAAACTAAGAGATTTTCAAAATGAGAACTTTAAGGATCTCTATGAACCTAAAATATGCATAATGCCATTTCATTACGTGAAGTTTTCCAATATCTAATATATCAATGACTTCAAAATTACATGATAAATGCTTGTGTTCCCTAAGGAAAAGAAAATAAAAATGAAAAAATGAAAACAAATAAACTAAAGATTTAATTCTTTTAAAAGTTCAAAGCAGTCAACATAAAACTTTGATTTATTTTCTTTTTTCTTTCAATAACTTGATAGGTTTAAAGCCAAGGAGAAGGAATGAATCCTCCAAAAAGGCCATAAATACATTTATTACCAAGAAAATTGTTTCTGATAATCATCAACTTCCTTAATATAAAGATACAAGCCATCACGATCCACACGCCAAAAACATTTTTGGTCACCACACCTTAACGCATCTCTTCTTTCCTCAAACACTTGGAATCGTTTGTGCTTGTTTTCATAACCCATGTCGCATTCATATTCAGCAGTTGTGCCAATGTTGATGCTGAATTCCCAATGGAAATCATCCCCGGGAAGGATCACTCGACTGCCCAAATCCTCGTTGGCTGCTGAAAGACAATGAGCAGCAAGATTTGTATTGCCACCCAAGTTGTTGACAAGGAAAACTTGGAAACCATTCACAATGGGATGACTGGAAACAACAAGAACAAGAACAAGGGTTAGCACATAACTTTTCAAGGGACTCATGGTTGGAGATTGAGAATGCTCTGGGATTTTGGAAATTTTGTTTGTCAATATCTATATATAAGCAGGGCTGCATTGCTTCCTTTGGTAAACTTCATATCTAACCTGATTTTAAGGCATGTAATGATCTGCCAACATAGAATCTGGCAATAATGGGAAACATAAATAAATGATAGAACCAAATGGGATTTTCATTATTTGAGGTAAGATTTGGTCTTTGCTATTTCCTTAGCAAACTTAAAAGATTTTCATAAAGTCAATAATGGGTAAACATTGTAAAAACTATATATACGAAAGTATATTTAAATTTAAGTTTAAGTAAAACGATATATGCCAATTCTCGTGTTATCTATTAATGGAATATTAAATTTTTAATTTTAATGATAAATTGGACCATAAAAGATGATCGGTCTGTCCAAGAGTAATTGGGCTGTAAAAGATGGTTTTGGGTTGGATCAGGCCGACCAGGCAATCATTTTTCTCTTCACCAATTCTGTTTTGTTGTCGTTTTAGCCCATAACTCAACAAAAAAATGTGATGCCGCTTGACACTCAGACCTGACTTTTAAAAACCCTAGAGTAGTAATCTATATGTTTTTGTTAGAAGAAACCCTCAGCTGCCGAACCCGGAAAGCACCAACAAAAGATATCATCAAAAATGGTGTCCGGCAAGAAAACGGTGAATACCCTTTGTTCTTTTCTTTTTAGTTTGTTGATCTATTTTCACAGTCTAAATTAAAGTTTTTGAAATCACTTGTTTTTTTGGATTTAACAGAAGAAGACCCATGAAAGCATCAACAATAGGCTGGCTCTTGTTATGAAGAGTGGAAAATACACTCTTGGTTACAAAACAGTGCTTAAGTCTCTCAGGACCTCCAAAGGTTCTTGCTTTTTTTCATTTTTGTATCTGAGTCTAAATTCATTTTATTTTTTCTTTTTTATTTGGGTTGCTTTTATTTTTAGAGATGTAATTTTTTTTAATGAAGAAAATTTGGGTTTTGTTGATATTTGACAGGGAAGCTTATTATTATTTCGAACAATTGTCCCCCGCTGAGGAAATCTGAGATTGAGTACTATGCTATGCTTTGTAAAGTTGGGGTTCATCATTATAATGGAAGTACGTTTTTGTCCCTGGTGCTATGCCAAGGCTTTTCTTCTATTTTTCTAATGTTTGTGTTATGGATTTATGGTATGGTAGAAGCTGCTTTTGAGTGTAGTGTCTTGAATTTCTGCTAAATTGGGCTGTAATGATTTGGTTTCATTGTTTCCTTCGTTCAACTTTGTGCGCATTCGAATTGTTATGAGTGTGTTTTTGGTGAATTAGGGATATCTTAGCTTATTAGTCATTGAATAAATACTATGGCACCTATAAAAGAAGGAAAGGGTTAGTATCTTGCTCAATGTTCACTGCTTATCTCACAGGTAAGGTTAGTAGGATGCCTTTGCCTTTCATCCTCTCATTGTTTGATTATGATTTGATGAATTTGAACTTGCATGTTCTTTGGGGCTTTGCACCTTGCGTGATTAAGATCTTGTTTGATAATTTCTGTTGTATAGACTATGTTTCTATTGAATCGCCTGACTTTTGCAAAATTCATGTTTTCTATCTAGTATTCCTTTTGTCAGTTACTTGGGATGTCATTCCTATCAATGGCTAGAATTCCTTATGATAAAATATTCACATGATCTAGGATTGAGTTGAATGGTTCCCGAAATGCTACTTCTCTTCTCAACATATGTTAATTATCTACTTTAGCTTAATGAGAGCTTGTCCATGTTCATTTTGGGTTAACTAGGTTTCAGAATTGGCAATTTGTTTTTTCTTGCGAGCCTGGTTGATTGATCTCAGTTTCCCTTGCTAGTTTTCTACCAGTTATTAGTCAAATGTCCTGAAGCTAATCTCTCATTAATTCTCCAGACAATAATGATCTGGGAACTGCCTGCGGGAAGTACTTCCGTGTCTCGTGCTTGAGTATCATCGATCCAGGTAACACCATAATTTAACTGCTGTTGATACTGGTCTCTACAATTTGATCATTGCAGATTACCAAACTGTTCCTTTCTCTACCCTGCAGGTGATTCTGATATCATCAAGTCTCTACCTGGAGACAACTGACTTGATCAAGTTTAGCCAATCTCACTTGACAGCCGAATGATGTTTCTTTCTTATTATATTGTTTCTTTTTGCCCTCTTCCCCTTTGTTTAAGAATATTTACTAGATGATGGTACCTTGTTAATGCTAAGATGTGGATCTTCTTGCTAAAATTTGTAGCTTAAATGCCAATTTTTGTTTGTTCAATGAAGTTTTCATTATAATGTTGCTTAATTGATATTCATGGTGGCTGGAAAGACTATTGAAAGAAGTTACTACTCAATAATTTAGATTCAAATCACATTTCTCTCAAATCACTCACTAAAAAGAAATTTGCTTTTATCGTTTAGCTGCTGAAAATTCAGATGAAATTAGTATATCTCTAACTTTTTCCATGATAGGTTGTTTTTTCACATGCTATGTATAAAAAAATTACAAAAATAAAATATCAACCATGAATAATTACAAAAAGAGATTAAACCCATTCCAAAATTGTATAATAAAAAAGGAAAAAAAAAAAAAAGGCCCTCTAGGTATTAAAAAAAATCTAACCATGAATAATTACATCTTGTGTGTGTGTGTGTTTTTTTCTTAATATTATTGTATTCATTGTCCTTAAAAAAATTTAGACAATAAATAATAGGAATTAGATTTTTTTTAAAATATACGTAAGACTTTTTTTCATATTTAAAAAAAAATTGAAAGTAAAATTAGATTTAATAATTTAAAATACGATATAAAAATATAATATGAATATAGTATAAAAATATAATAAAAAATTGATATGATTTAAAATTTTAATAATAATTATATATAAATTTAATAAAATTATATATTTTATATTTTTATATTCATATAAATTGTATTATAAAATTTTTATATAAAAGATGATATGAATATATAAATTTTAATAATTAATTTAGTTTTTTTAATGTAAAACCATTTTTTCCCATAGTTTTGCGCCAAATTGGCCCGAAATTTAGAGTCTTTCACTTCGCCGCTGCATGACTCAATGCTAAGCCTAAAGGCAAAAACCGCCCTTTACCTCTCCCTCTTTGGAAACGGCTTTCTTTTCTTTTTGAAAAGTTCTATTCCTTCCTTTGAATTAAAGTAAAGAAAAAAACGTTTTTAGGGTTTCTTTAATTCTTTCTCTTTTTAGCCAATGTTCTTGTAAATTTCATGCGCTTCTGATTCAATTCGTCGTCGCGCCGTTCTAAATTATCTTTCAATTTTAGGGTTTGTGTGACATGCAGGCTATTGATTCTTATGCCGTTTGAATTTCTTCATTCTCTGCAGTTCCTCAATTTGGGAAATACCCTTCTTCGCTTTCCCAGTTGAATCCTCTTGTTGTTCCATTTCAGCTTCAGGGTTTAAAGGTCCATGTCTCATTCAATTTGGGTAATTTGTTGGGGTTTTTGATTGTTTCTTTTTTCAATTTTATTTCATAGGGCCAAAAACCAAAAAAAAAAAGGAAAAGCTTTTCTTTTTTATTTGGGCTTATTTGGGCAGTGTTTTAGGGTTTTTGGTGGGAGTGGGATGAATAGTATATTCAGTGAACAGATACTCGCAGATAAGCTCTCCAAGCTCAATAGCACTCAACAGTGCATTGAAAGTATCCTTTTCGTTCTTTCTTGCCTTTTTTTCCCTCCAAAATTGTTGTTTGTTTGATTAACTGTTTTAATAAGTTCTTTGTATTAGCTTAGGCGAAGAGAAGTAAAATGTTATGATTTCTATGTTCTGTGCTTGCTTGTATCGCTTTTCAATGTGGGTTTGTCTTATTTGACGCATTTCTATGTCAAACTACGGGATATTTCATTGGAATGTGGTTTAATTTTTGTTAAAAGTAATGGTGATCCTAAGTCTGGTACTCTGTTGAGTTTTCTTTTTTGTTGATCGATTGGGAATTGAAGCTAACTGTTAAAATCTAAGCATAGTTGGTTATACTTTTTGTATCCATTATTGATGTTTATTTGTATTTTCCCAACATTATTAATTGTGATTCATAATTCATTGTTTGATAGTAACAACTTTTAATATGATCATAAATTGATGTGGTTTGTGAAAAAATTGTCAAAATGCAGCTATTTGATGATATGGATAATATCAGATGCTCAATATCCTAGATCTTTAATAGGTCTACTTTTCAACTTGTTAATGTACTCACAATGACAGCCCCTAAACAAATTACGATAGCATTAACTAGTAGGCTGAGAAAGCAAGGAGCAAAAAGCAATGGTACCATTTTGCTATAAGATCTGTGACTTTCAAATTTTAAATCAGAGTGAAATCTTTCTTGTTAAATTTAGCTTGGGTTTATTTGACTTTGAACTTTGTGATGATATTCACTGTACAAAATGATTTTGTTGTTCTGACATAGGAGTTTCCATAGCAGTGCGGTCTTCAAGTTTGATGTATCTTTAACTTTATAACCGTAAAATTTAATTTTCAATTGTCTAATCATCCTTTGGGTGGCATCATTGTGCTAGTGCATTGATCTTGTATTCCATATGGTACATTACCTTGACCTATTCTATATAGCATTGTCGCATTGGTGTATATTTCACCAGAGCAAGGCAGAACTGGTTGTTGTAACATGGGATAAACAATTTCACAGCTCACAGATGGTTCAGAAAGTCCCCCTCTTGTACCTTGCCAATGATATTCTACAGAACAGCAAACGTAAAGGAAATGAATTTGTTAATGAGTTCTGGAAAGTCCTTCCAGCAGCCTTGAAAGACCTCCTTGAGAAGGGTGATGATCGTGGGAAGAATGTGGTTTCTAGATTGGTAAATTTCCTTTTTGGGGGCTTTTAAGGAATAAAAATGACATGTCTCTTGTGTCATCTGAAAAACATTAAGTTTATTATTTTTAAAATGACAGTGATACTTTGTTGGTGGTTGAGGTTTATGGTGTTTGTCTCACACTGTCTATTATTTCATAACATTTATAATTTACCACTTACTTTTCAATATGTTAAGATAACTGAATGCTTTCATCTGGTTTTGGGTTTATTTATGTTGACTTGGGTTATGGATTAATGTCTGAGATAGCTCCAAAAGCCCAAAATTATGGCTTGTTCTACTTGTTTGTTAGGCATGCATGTATCTATGATGCTAATAGGTGCTGCCAGCCAACTACAGTATCATGTTATTTTCTTCTGAACACTGAATTAAGCTGTTATAGTTATACTTTTCAATACAAATTGTTAGGTAGGTATATGGGAAGAACGAAGAGTCTTTGGGTCCCGAGCACAAAGCCTAAAAGATGTGATGCTTGGTGAAGAAGTGCTTCCACCATTGCAATTAAGCAAAAAACGTGCACAGTCTACCTCTGTAAGAATTGTGAAGCGGGACTCAAGATCCATTAAAACGGTTAGATTGAGGGGCTTTTTTTCTCTTGTATCATATATTTTCATCTTGTTTTGATTATAAAGTTTACTCTCTTTTTGTCTGCATAGTTTATTTCAAATGGTTTTCACTTTTTCTTTCATTTCTAATATGATAAAAGACAGTTCTCACTGTTATCTTTTTGCTTTTCACACCAGAAGCTGTCAATTGGGGGCAGAGCTGAAAAAATAGTTTCAGCATTTCATTCAATGCTTAGTGAACAGCAAAATGAGGATGAAGAGATGAGCAAGTGCAAGTCAGCAGTTCATCGTGTGAGGAAGATGGAAAAAGATGTGGATATTGCTTGCGCAATTGGTAATCTCTGACTGTGTTGACCTGAGTACTGCTCTTGATAATGTTTTTCTCCTAGTTACATTTCAAGTTCAGGATGGGATTCTTAAAAGGTGTTATCATCTAAAATTCTCTTTATACTGCAGCAAAAGATCCAAAACGAAAAACTTTGTCCAAAGAACTACAAGATGAAGAAAATCTTCTGAAAGAGAGCATTGAGAAACTCAAGTCAGTTGAAGCAAGTAGAGCAGCACTTGTATCACAGTTAAAAGAAGCTCTTCATGAACAGGTACCTGCATATTCTATTACTTCCTTTCTATGTTAAAATGTTTCTACTTATTTGCAATGATGGATAGATCAGAAGCATTATCTTGCTTTCTGAAATTCTTTTCAGGAATCTGAGCTGGAGAATGTTCGAACACAGATGCTGGTATATATTCTGATAATTCTATCATGTACTCCTCTGTTTTGCTGATTTCCAGATGTAATGCGAAAGATGGGCATGTATCCAATCCTGTTGGACACTTTATTTCTTCAGTTTTTCTGATGAATGCTGATTTCTTATCAGTTTCTGGATGATGTTTGGTTCAAATATTCACATGCTACACCTTTCGCCTGTGAGAACTACTTTAAACTTATGTCACAATTTGGAACTAAGAAGACCATTAAATCTTGTAAGTTTAGGGGAAACTTGAAAGGGAAGTTAGGAGTATATTCTTACAGTTGAACTTTTTTATGTGCCTTGACTGGTATAGAATTTGATTATGGTAATTTATAGCACCTGCAAAACATTGCAGCTAGTTCATATGAAGTATAGGAATTGTGAGGTTTACTTAAAAGGATACTAGAGTTTGTAATCTTCTAGATGGGTAGACAATTTGCTATAGTTGCATTGGGAGTTGTTATGTCAGAATTCTGGTCAAATTTTTCTGGGAGTGCAAGTTTATTTGAATTGCTGCTAATCACAATATCTCTCCTTGTGTATGTTAATGTACCAAAATGTTGTTCTCTACACTTTTTAACAAGTTTCTTTAATCAATTATAGGTAGCACAAGCACAAGCGGAGGAAGCCTGTAACATGCAGAAGCGGCTCAGTGATGAAGATTATGTGTCAACATCTGCTACAACGATTCAGTCAATTGATGCCAATGCAAAAGCTGGAGAAACACCTAAGAGGACTGCTGCAGCCATTGCAGCTGAGGTTGCAGACAAGCTTGCAGCTTCTAGCTCCTCTCAAATGATCATGCATTCTGTTCTTTCTACATTTGCAGCTGAAGAAGCAAAAAATGCTGGTCTAATAAAGGCGTCCACACAGTCAAAGTCCCTCACATCTGTACCCATCAATTCTGTCACTGATGCAAATTCAAAAATGGAGAAGTCAATGCCAGTTGCAGATTCTAATGTTTTTATGCCAGCACAAGCACTTAATGCTCCAATTAACCATTCTTATCAATCAGTTCTGGTGTCTCAACCAGCCATGCCAAGCCAAACCACAACCTCTCAACCTCAGTATCACGTGCTTCCTAACATAGCCACACAGCAGTTTTTGCAGGCATCAGGGGGAACACTAACCCCATATGGTAGTTATGGTGGTATGCCACCATTGCCACCTGTACCACCACCACCACCACCTCCCTACATGGTTAGTCCAATGGTACCTTTGACTCCACAGCCATTGCCAATAACTCAGCAGCAGCCGATACCAATGGCCCAGCAAACGGCCCCTTTGACTCAGCAGCAATTGCTGCCCTTGACTCAGCAGCAATTGCTGCCCTTAACTCAGCAACCACCTTTGCCTCCTAGTTTCCGGCCAATTCAACAGCCTGGAATGGTGTATTATGGTCATCCGCCTCATTCATAGTAGATAGAATCTTTTTAGATTAGGCAGATGAAAATTTTGAAAATTTGTTTGTGACAAATTGGAATTGTCGAGGTAATCACTTGTAGAAGTCCCTGAATAATCATACTAATAGTTCCGAGGAGCAATTAGTGACCAAGCAAGAATTAACAATTTCTTTTCATTTTTTTCGTCTCTCCCAAGGTTTGCCTGTCATCTATGATTTGCAAGAATTAGCAATCCCTTGATTCAGATGTTGGTTCTTCCTTTATTTATTGTTTAAAAAATACTGTATGATAATTAAGGATTAAGCACTGAAACTCGTCATAGTGGGAACGACGAGAACATAGGGCCTTTGCGTTTAAAATGTCAAAAAAATCTTGAAAAATAATATCTGAAAGGTTCCATTTAGTCTAAAGGTTAAAATGACATGTTATTGTGACATCAAACATCTCAGCAAGAAAAAACAGTAACTAAATTACATTTCTGACAGGTTAGAGGTCCGAGAACTCAACCCTTCATTGCTTTCCTAACAAGGAAATCTTTAACAAAAATTGGCAAATGGTACATAATTCCCATAATAGTGGAGTAATGACCAGATGAGAACCAAGCTGGTGGATTTTTCTTCAGCACTACATTCACGGTATTCTTTGCGAACACATCTGTTGGGGTTGACTTGGATGTTTGTGAAAAGTATGCTCTCTCTCTGATGGCTTCTTCAAATGGTTTATATAGCTTCCACTCAGGCATCCGATTGTAGCTAGCTATAGCAGAATTCCCTATGTTTGACATTACAGCTCCTGGGACAACATTGATGACATCAATCCCGAAATGGCTGAGCTCCAATCTGCATACATCAGAAATAATTTGACTACATTTGTTCGGTTGGGGAGATCATAAAAGATTACCGGCCGTCATCTAATTATAGGCATTTTCAAGGAAAAAAAGTTTCCAATTTGGTAAGAATTGGGTGAATGCTGTGAAATCAAAGTTTTGTTCCCTATATTAATCTTGAAAGAATTTGCACATTTCATTAGCTTCTTGACAGCTAAACACAACCACACCCGCATGTAGGCAGATGTATCCAAGTGCAAAAACATTCTTTTTCTGGATAAGTTAGATGGTAGCTAATGAGTTGTCTTTCCTTTAATGCAGATGTCATTTTAAACTAACCTCAAAGTATCAGTTAGCGCATGAAGAGCTGCTTTAGATGCAGTGTAGACGCCAGACCATGGCCCTGGAGCCATAACAGTAACACTTCCAACATTGACAATCTTTCCCTTTTTCTTAGATGCCATGTGAGGTACAACAGCTTGAACTAGCCTCATCGAACCTGTAATCAAGTACAACATCGTAAAAACACAAGATAACTAATGGCATCTATACAAATTGAAACTCAATATTTTGCCACCAATGCGGGTGGAAGTGGGACTAGGAAGGAGTCTTCAATCCAATTCCCGTTATTCAGCCAAAAAAACAAGTGAAAGAACAGTGCAGTGCATTAAATCTTTCCAAAAAACCAAGAGAAGATGATCAGAAGAAAATACAAACATGAAACTCATCAAAGACAAACAACTATAACGAAGCATGGATTCATTAAGGAACAACAACAGTGTAGTGGTACTATCCAGCCATTAAATTAGGGAAAGCCTACTCCTAGGCTACTGCTTTGAGAGTATCACAAAGTTTCCTAGGCCCTTAAATCCCTGCCTCCGTTATTTAACAGAAAGATCAAATTAATCTCTCACATTACAAGTTGCATCAAGAGCCAAAAAATGACCAGTTATTTCACTTTGGAACACTGACTATAGTAAAATTTTATTTGGAGCACAAAAGATTGCATAGTATGATTTTGCTTCAACTATGAAAACACTTAAAATATAGGCTTGGATTCAACATCCTGCAACCACAACTTTCAGAGGAATCAGGATCAACTGATGAACCAAAGCTTCATCATTTGTTGCAACAAACAACTGAGTCAATAACTTCTTCAAGAAAGAACAGTTCATTTAAAACTTAGTGCTTGACAATTCGATAAATATAACTTTTAAGTTTAACAACAGAATCTCAGTTACTAGTTGCTGACTATCTGTAGGATCCCATTTACAATGACAATCAGGTTTCTTCTCAGGTTAAAAAGCACAAAGACCATGCAACCAAACGAAGCAGTAGACGGTATGTAAATGCAAAATTAATAATAGCTGCTTGAAAGTTAATCTCTTTTTCCTTATGCTAATACGTAAATCAACCATAAGTTTTTTTCTTTTCTTGTTTTGGTCAATCAGCACAATTCAATGCTACCCAATCCCCCCCTAAAGAAAGAAAAAATCAGCATTAAGTCCAATCTCGCACTGCAAGCGTGAATGTCAAACCTAACCAAATAAGTGAAGTCTTCACTACCAACAAAAATAGCACAATAAGTCAAGCCAACAGATTACCAGTCATAACAGATACGGCCACATACAAAAATAGAAAAGATATAAAGAAAAAAAAAGCATATCCCTTAAATTAAGATGAGATATTAATCATTACCAAAAACATTGGTATTAAAGGTATTTTCCATGGCAGGCAAAGGGATTTCAGCAAGAGGGCCAACGCATTGGATCCCAGCATTATTAACCAAGACATCAACACGACCAAACTTATCTAGTACATTGGACATGACATGTTGCACGCTCTGCTCCGATAGAACATCGAGTTCTTGAAGAAAAAACCTGGGATCTTGTTGCAGGTCTGACATGGAGCTTAAAGACCTGCTTGTGGCCACCACCTTGCAGTTATTGTCGGCAAAAGCGCGTGCCAGCGCGTGTCCTATTCCTCCCTTGGAACACCCTGTGATTAGAACAACTGGGTTGTGGTCCTGGGATTCCATTGAATGAGATGGGCTCTTCAGAAGTTTGATAGAATTGGTTTCTTTTTGTGGAGATTGTTGACCTGAAAAACCAAAGGGATGTGTGCGTTAATTACAAAGAAAATTTAATGTCAAACTTCAGTAGTTTAAGACTCTCTGTTCAGGATTTTCTGTCGGTTATGCCCTCACGAACTCCTGTGTAAAAAGTTAAAAAAAAAATGAGAATATTTATTTTTTATTATTTTATATTTGATTTTTAAGTAATTTCATTGATTGGTTGGGTGTCATTTCATTCATGACAGTAAATATATCCAATATCATTACATGCAGTAGATTATTATTATTATTATTATTATTATTATTTCACATTTTTTTATAAATTTATTTGATAATTTGAAATATTATATGATGACACATATAAAAATGATATGAGTAAAGAATATAAAAATAATGTAATATAAAATTTTAGAAAAATTATAAATAAGTTAAATAAAATTAAAAAATTATATTTTATATTTTTATATTGTTTTAAATTACAACATTAAATTTTTGCATAAAATATGATACAAATATAATATTTTATATGATACGAATTATCAAATATTATAAAATTATCATCTTAAAAATCAAATTAAATTATTGTGTTTAACAAATGCTCAAAGATCTTAGGAGATTATGATATGAAATAATAGAAAGTGATTAAATTATTATATTTAAGTGTGATTTAATTTTTATTCAAAAAAATTAAATTTTTATCACCTAAATAAAATATTATCTAAATAATTATATCAATATTATTTATTGAATACATGAATTAAAAATTTATTTTCGTTCAAAATTCTAATTATTTTATAATATAAAAATTTTATATTTCAAACTAATATTCAATGTACAAAATTTAAAATAAATTTAATATTCAAGCAGCATGATACTTTTTTCATGTCAATCAAGATTGGATCTATGTAAAAATATAATCCAAAAATAAAATAAGTTGACCTAAAAGACAAACATTGGGTTTGGGCTATAAAAAGTTATTTGGGGTTGGGCCAAAGGCTGGACTACTCAAAGACAACATGGGCTCAAGTGGCAGAAAGTCAGTTTGAAAAGCCCAAAATGACCTTAACCCAAGGGAAATTCATTTCCAAAATATGGGGTACATACAGCAACTGATGTTTATTCACCAAGAATTGAAGATAAGGTAAGGGTTTATCAATTCATGTCATTTCTTTGTCAAAATTGAAGAAAATTTTTTAATAAACTTTTTTAAAAAATAAAATATGTAATTAATTTAAAATCGATTGATTTGATTTAATATAAAATATCATAGAAATTATATATACATTTAAATTTCTCAATATAAAAAATTTGCCCAATACAATATGTGAATCTAACTTATTTAAGATATCAAGACATTATCTTTGATGAATTTATTATTGGTGGCTCGTAAGGATATGATCATATTTTTTTATTAAAAAGTACTATATATATATCAATAATTTAAAATCGATTAATTTAAATTAATGCAAAATTGCGTATAAATCACACATACCCAAATTTCTGGACCGGAGAAGCCATTTTAATGAAACTTTGACATTAAGCATATTGTTAGAGTCATAATCTTCTACTTGGTTACGTACAAAAATTAATGTGGGTCTTTGATGTGGAGCCATAAGTTTTAGCTAATTGGAAACAATGTCAATGGCTAAATCATATTATTATTCTCACATACACGTTCAAATAGCCATAATCATGTAAGATTATTTTGTTTATGGAGATTCCATAAGTGCTTTATTTCTTTTTTTTCTGAAATTTGAGAGGTTAGTGTTGAATAAAAAATAGTTTTTCCCTACTCATTTCCATATCCATAATCTTCTTGTTTTTGTCTTTCCTCCACGGCCAGATATGGCTGCTCTCTCCGAATTCTTCTCCCGCCTCTACACCATGACCATAGTCTTCTTCACTCTCTTAGTCCTCGAAGTTGTAATGCTTATCAGGTCCATCACGTGCGGCGTTTGTGACTCTGGAAAACGCCTGATCACAACAACCCAGTACCTTAAATTCATTGAAGAAAAGAACCCAACAATTCGTTACTCAAGAAGATCATCGAGGGTGGATGATCAGTCAAACGAATGTGCAGTGTGTTTATCAGAGCTTGAAGAAGGTGAGACAGTGAGGAAATTGAAATGTAAGCATACCTTCCACAAGGACTGCCTGGATAGGTGGCTTCAACAGTATAGGGCTACTTGCCCACTTTGCAGGACTAAAGTTTTGCCAGATGAGATTGTGGCTAAATATCACAGTCACAGGCTGCAAGATCAGGTAGAGTACGATGAGAGTGATGAAGAGATGATTTTCTTGTTATCTGCATTACATGGTAATAGTTTACGCAGATTGCTCTGATTCTGACACTACTATAGGATTGTTAAGTTTTAATAATTTACTTTGGCTGACAGAAGCACAGATACTTGGTAAAGTATTGTAATTTTTGGGTAAATTTTGATGTAGATTTTAGTTGATTTATGTATTTATTTCTATTTTAGCAATCTTATGAAAATTGAACATCTTGGCTTCAACGTTCTGGTCCCCAATTCCCTGGATTGGAAGATGAACAGAGAATTTTGTACTGTGCCAAACTGCCAATACCTTGTTTTGGGTATGAAAATTTATGAAAGGGTAAAGTAAAATAGAATTTGGTGTGTTAAAGAGTTTTAATTTGAAGGGGATAACCAAGGGCCAGAAATTAAACTCACTTTTCATGTATCTTGGAGCAGTTGATTGAGGCTTGGTGATATGATTTATGAGTCAGCTTTCATGGTAGGCTAGCAATGCTTAATTGCTGCCAGAAGTTGGTAGATGTTTCTTCATTAACAATATCTACTAACATTTTTGGTAGATGGTGGTAGGTGAAGACAGTGGAGTTCGTTTTTTTTTTCCTTCTAAATTAGGGAGTGGAGGCTTTGATGCAGTTCTTGACACTTATTAATAAACAGTGCAAGGCATTTAAACAAATTCCAAGTTGATTTTTTTTATTTAATATTATTGTCTTAAGGATTAAGTATATGAAAATTTTATTTTTGTTAAAAATAAGTGATATAATAAGATTTAAAATTATGATTTAACATAATTTTTTTTTTTTTAACCTTTCACGTAACTAATCTCAAAGAGATATAAGATATAAAACTTAATTTGTTGTTTTTTCATTATAATACTTTTGTTTCGTGTTGGGATGCTAATTTTATCCATATTCAATGAAAAATTTAATTTTTTACCTAAATAAAATTAAAAAAAATATTATATTACGAGTACGGAGACAAAAATAAGTATAATTTTAAATTTTTATTAGATATAAGAATAAAAATATAATATCCATCTCATGCCCGTATTTTACATATATATTTTTATATATTTAATATATAAATTTTTATTAAATAATATAAATTATTATTTTATATAAATTAAAATTAATATATTTTTATTGAAAATATATATTAATATATATTTATATAAAAATAATCTAAATATACAAGATAAAAATAAAAATAAAACTTAAAAAAATTATTTTTTAGCTTTTTTTTTTAAGTTATAAGTAAAAAATTATCCATACCCATTAAATATCATTATGATGATAATAAAGATAAATTTAAAATATCTATTAAATATAAATATCAAAATAAATATAATATAAAAATTTAAGAATGAAGATAAAAAATATTCTACCATTCACGTACCCTGTCCATTAATATTTCTAATTTCATGAACTTTAAAGAACTAAAAGTCGAGCATTCTACTTTTCTCTTTTCTGCATTGGATTTCTAACTTTTTGTAAGTTACATATTTAAACACTTTTTAAAATTATTAATTAATTAATATATATTATATTTATAATTAGATGTCATTAATAATAATATCATTAAATATTTTTTTTATTTTTAGAGAATAATTTTTATTTTTATTTACCAAATAAATTTTTAAAAAACAAAAAAAGAAAATAAAAATTGTTTTTTAAAAAATAAAAATAAAAAATATTTTTTAAACCAAACATAGCCTAAAACTCTTATTTTTTATATTTTAAAATTATTTTTACTTTTTAACATTAAAAATCATGAAACTTTAAATCTATAAAAAAATTATTTTTAATATTAAATATATCAAAATTAAAACTTTTTTATTTAAATTTCATAAATGTCAATACCATTTAAACAATTTGAACCAGAGGGAGTATTTTTATATGAATTTCATGTCTTCTACAAATATGTTGATTAGTGGTGAGCGATAATTGATAATTAAATAATATCAACGTCTACAGATTAGATGTTAAAAGAATTTTATCAATAATTATAAATAATAATAATAATAATAGGTCGGATCAAAATGACTTTTTATTTATTTCAATTTCGATTCAATTTTGTAAATATATATTCGATTTTGACTTCAATTTAATATTAAAATATTATATATTTTATATTCGATGTAACTTATATATGAAAAAAATTGTAATTAATTTGATTAAGTTAAAATTAATTTAATAAGTTTAATTTAATATAATATTTATAAAATATTTTTAATATAAACTATATTTTTATTACATTAATATTTTAAATTAAAATATTAAATAATAATTTTATTAATATAATAAAATATAAAATTAAATAAATAATAAAAATATATTTTATATATACCTGAGTGGATTTCCTAAAACTCGATCCAAACTTGACAATCTTTATAAAAAATTAAACTCGATCTGAACCTTGATTAAAATAAAATTAACCTTATAAACTCAGATGAGATCGAAACCCGACGGTTTTGGCCCGTTTGCCATAACTAATTAGAAACGTTAGTTGTTTTTTTTTTTTTTTTAATTTAAAACCAGTTTCATTACACTCACAGAACTGTGATTTTCTGCCCTATCTTAAAGTGATACAGACCTATCATAGATTAAAATCACTATGTTGTCTCTCCGAAAACACTCACTCTCATATACCCAAACGGCACGGTTTGCTTCTTGTTCATCTCCCTTTCGGCCTCCGTCTTCCCTTCGATTCCTTCTCAAAGACGATGGTAAAGGTTCAGAAATCCAAAAGACAAAAACTCAGCAATAAAAAAATTAAAAAAACCCTCATGAAGATAAAAGACAAATCCAATCGTTCTGAAACACCCCAAAATCCAATTGTCTCCGAACCGGAACCGGAACCCGAACCCGGATCCTCCGATTCCGACTTTGATACGGAAAATCTTCCCGAGCTCTTGGAAACCTACACGAGAGACCAGCTCATCAATCTAATATCCGAGGCCGCTCGCGAGAACTCTTCGTTCCTCTCCTTCGTCTGCCGCCACGCCGATCGCGACACCTCCCACAGGAAATTGTTTGTCCATGGCCTCGCGTGGGAGACCACGCGCGAATCCCTCGCGTCGGCCTTCGAACGTTTCGGTGAGATCGAGGATTGCAACGTCATCGTCGAGAAAGCCACCGGAAAATGCAAAGGTTATGGATTTGTTCTATTCAAGAAGCGAATATCGGCTTCCAAGGCGTTGAAAGATCCGAAAAAGAAAATTCATAACCGGATGACGTCATGCCAGCTGGCTTCCGTGGGCTCTACCTCGGCTGCGAAGGATTCGGATCAAACGCACCCGAAAAAACTGGCTGATGTGAAGAGCATAAACGCGGTGGAGCCAGGTGTATTGTTTCCACCTCAGCCGCAACAGCAGTCGCAGGTGTTGGCTGCGTTGGCAGCGACGCAGAATTTCCCATTGTTGGGCCATACTAATCCGATTTATGGGAGTTTATTAGGGAGCCAAATTAATCCGGTGACGACTGCGGGGGCTACGAGCAAGATGGCGGTTACGGCTGTGCCAACAGTGCCGACGAGCCATGTGGGTGTAGTGGGCGGAGGGTTTGGGAGGGCAAATTCGTCATTGCGAGGTCATTACGGGACAGGTCAAGGGCTGCAAAGTTTATATCCAAATATGCAAATTGGGCAGCAGTCAGGGGCAGGGAGAGGTCAAGGGACTTCTACGAACAGGGCCTATTCTGGGTATCCATCATACATTTGGTATGGTTTTAATTTTTTGTCCATTGTAAATTTTAGTGTCTGTTTAATATTTATACTTGGTAGTTTTATTACATTTATTGATTGGATTATATTCTTTTTGTTTAAATTTGTTGTTTTTATTTTGAATGATTGGATATTTGGTCTAATTGTTTATTCAAATGAGATTTTCTTATGGCAATTTATGAGCTTTAGGATGGGTTTTAACATATCAGATGTTGAGGGTTAATCCCCTCCTTGCTTCACTGTTATTGAATTAGTTGATATTTATAGGTGGATAATAAGTTAATTTAAAAAGTAATGATAATGTTAATAATCAATGTTACTTGGACTAGAGATTCATCGTCAGATTCCGGCATGTAACTGACTCGAGCATTCCTTATTCCGGCATGTGTCATACCCTAATAAATAAATTTAAAGTGTCCAAGAAGTGTTGAACATGGGACGTTAGGGTAAAGTGACAAGTCCATATAACATAGATAATCACAAACACTATCATCTCATTCAGTGAGCCTTCTCATATACACATAATATCTTTTATTTTAGTTTAATATACTCTATTCTGTCTCATCCTTTCTATTTGCCCAGCACTTTGCCGTCGATTTCTTTTTAAATTAGGTTTTGGCATACAAATTGTCTCTGTTTCCACTCTGACAAATTTCTCATCTCATTCCGTGGACCTGTTCCACTGACTCTGTAATGTCTTGGTGTTTGTTTTTAATCACAGAGTTAGACCCAATTTACACGGGCTCTTCCCTGCATTGCCATTAGTGACATTTCAGTTTATAATTTCTTTACATTCAATCGTCTTTTAGTCTTTTTAGAAGTTTTCCAAGATCATTTATTGGTCCAGTCTGTTTAACATTTGTTTCCCTAATCATAGTAGTTTTTGTAGTTTTTGCTTAAGGCGTTTCCCTTTTGTTTCACTTTGAGGATTTGGCTCATTTTATAATTGGAAGTGCAGTTTGCATGTTGAGTGGCTATTCATCCAGTTATTGCTATTTTTGGATCTAAAAGTTCTTTTGTTTCCCTTTTGAATAATTTTGCTGTTGTATTACTTAATTTTGGTTGCAAAAATTCTCCCTCTGTTTTCTGCCATCTGTTATGTCAAATTTTATATTCTGAAGTTTTAGTTTGTTTAAAAGGTTTAGCTAAAGAAAATGCTTTTGCTTGAGAAGCATTTTAGACTTTATGTTGTTTTATTGCCATTACATCACTTGGACTCTATATTTGCAGATGATTTGCAGCTGAGTTTCAAGATGTTCATGCACTTTTCGGAAATGTTTCATGGTCATTTGCTATGGAAAAATTTGAAGTTTGACCATGTTTCTTATGGTTTAGATTTTAAATTTTTGCTGAGCTCAAATGGAACTTGGTGGACCAAGACCATTGCTCTTCTTATCTTCTTCTTCTCTTTTTTTTTTTTTTTGTTTACCTTCCCTTCTATCTTCTCCTTCTTCACTATCTTAAACATAAAAGTTTGTAAGCAATGGCAACTTTCAGATTTCCTTTGTTAAATTTTATTTTCTTTATTTCCCTGGCATTATGGTTTTGCTTTGAATTTTGAATTTCCTTTTATTATGTCTAGTTTTTTTTTCTCCCATCATTTACTATCTAGAGATCTGGGGTAGTAAGATGATGAATGTGATTAATATATTTACTTTGAGATATTCGATACTTTGGTTTAATGATTACATTTACTATGGTTTTATACACAAGTGGACAAGTCTCCTTGAAAGTCATTGTTCTGCTCATAAAAACGATCTCCTTGTGTCTAATTTAAATATTTTTAAGGCTTTCTTTTATTCTAATTAGGTATAGTCTTTTTTTCTGTTTTCTTTCCTGCATTTATGAATGATTCATTGTTGAATTATAATAATACTCTACAAACAGCATAGAACCAATATTTAATATGAAAAAATCAGTTATAAGAGAGCCCTGGGGTCTTTTTTTTTATTTTTGCTATCGACTGGATTTAAGTTACCAGTTGTAGTTTTGCAACTCAAATATGTTTGTCTTGTTTGGATTGTCGTTTTTTAAGTGGTTTCCCCTTTGATCTTGCTTTTGGCATTATGTTTTTCTTTTTCTTTTCTTACCAAGTCAGCCTAGTTATAGTATCAAACAAACTCCAATGGTCTGAGTTGCTTTTCCCTGTTCCCTCCTCTCTCTCTCTCTCTCTCTCTCTCTCTCTCCCTTTTCTCACTCATGCTTTTGTGTGTTATTTATTTCATTTTACACTTTTTTTTTTTTTGGGGGGGGGGGGGGGGGAGTAATTGGAGTTGAGGTGAATGAGTAGAATGGAGTAGATCACTAAAGGTAACCAGCATTACCTTTAAAATTTGTTAGCTACATTCTAGAAATTCCCTTCCCCTTGAAATATATATATTTTGAATTTAGTAAAGAAGGAATATGAATGGTTTCTAGCTAGGGATTGATGCAAATGGAGATCATTCTAATATGTTTCTCTTTATTTTTTTATTTTACAGAATAACATAAATGGTGTAAACTGTTCAAAACGATTCTAGTGGATTTAAATAAATCCCAGGATGGAAGCAAGAACCAGCTTTATAACTATAATTTTAGGGATTTCATTTTTAGTTATGCAAATTATCTAATCTGCTTCTACATAACAAATCATAGTGCTGTTAAAGACCAGTCACGGGAACTTAGTGCAGCAGTATATTCAGGTAGATTTATAATCATTCTGGCTTGATCCTTGGCGAATTTTGTTCGGTGTAGACTACAGAGCCATTAAATTTCCTATGCCAAAATGATGATATGGGGTCTATAGAGATGATATGCTGCTCTCTTTATGGTCGTTTGTTTTGAGAGAATTCACAAATTTTTTCTTGAAATCTTGTCGGTAGGTGTTTGATTTTATCGTCTGGTTTAGAGTAATCCGATTTTGGAAGAAAGTAATAAATTCTCACTGGTCCTCAAAGTCTCAAAATTAGAAATCTACCTCTCTGTGGTATTTTGGGATTTTGAGGGGAAAGTTACATTATTTTCAAATTTGATTTGAATAAAATATGTATGAAATAATTCTTATTATTTTGAAAAGTATATTTGGAAGTGATTGTAAATTAGTTGTAAGCTTTTGATGCTAAAATTTTTTTTTATATTGTAATTAATGGTGTTTAGTATGAAAAATGACTTAAATAAATCATTATTCAAATGTAAAGTGTTTGGGTTGAAAAAATGCTTTAAATGATTTCTTAAAATAATGAACAGGATTATTTAATGTATTTTTAGTTAAAAATTCTTTAAATAATTGATTAGGATTAAATAATTTTTTAAAAAATATATAACAAAATTATTTAAGATGTTTTTTAATCAAAAGTATTTTAAATAATTCTTTTAAAAAATAAAATAAAATTATTTAAGGTATTTTTGTCGAAAAATATTTTTAAAAAATTCTCTTTCAAGTTCCAAATGAATGGAAGAAAAAAAGATTTTTTAAAGGTTTTTTTTGTAGAAATCTTTAAAAAGTTTTTAACCAAAAACGAAATGGATGAAAAAAAAAAAACTTTTTTAAGGTATTTTTTAACAAAAATATTTTAAAAAGTTATTCTCTTCCAAATTTCAAATGTTTCACACTAAAAAAAATTTAGGCGAACAAGGGTGGCTGTTATTGGAATGAGATTAGATTTTAAAATTGATATATATAATAAGAAGATTATGATAATTATTTAAAAATTAAAATATGTGAATATTTTTCAATCAAACGAATAAATTTAACCACGAGATATATTAAAAATAAAAAAAAAATTTAAGTATCATATTTTCTTAGGGGTTATATTTTTTTCAAAATCTAAAATTTTACAAATGAATCGTCCTCTTAACATAATAGAAATCCCTTACTGACATGTCTCTGCTTACTAAAATGTTTATCCGAGATAAATTCTATTCAAATAGTTAGTTAGCAAAATGATCCCTAGGAATCTGTACCTGCACCTGCTAATGCCTTCATTCTGAGAAATATCAGCTACTCAGGATCCTTGAAAACCTGGGTGCTTGAGGCTTGAGGACATTCTTTGTTTTTGTTGTTTACCAGGGATTTGTTTAATGCCATATATTTAACTATTTTGACCAGAAGACAAACAAGTAAAGATATTTTGAGAGCATGTTTGCAAAACTATCATATCTATTGACTATATGAAGTAGCGGAATCATACATTTTTTCAATTGAATCTTTGCCGCTGCTCAAGAAGTTGTACAGTACTCTACTCATGGAAAGGGAATGATATGATTATGCATAAAACATTGTCCTAAGCGGCCTCCTCAGTGGCTAAATAAGATAATAATGTTAGAGAAATAAGTTACATAAAAAGGGTATTTAGGGGAGGCTCCAGCAATCTCCTAGTTTACTTCTTCCTCTTCTTTGGAGGCTGGAGGGACTCCTCATCTTCATCATCCTCCTCTTCATCTTCGTTTTCAACTCCTTCAACATCTTCCTCATCCTCTTCTCCACCATCATCTTCCTCATCTTCATCTTCATCCTCGTCATCGTCATCCTCTTCATCCTCTGGGTCTTCACCATCCTCTTCATCATCTTCTTCTTCCCCATTCTCTTCTGCCCCACCTGCTCCACCTCCTGGTCCCCTCTTTGGATTGTTCTTGTTGCCATTAGGATTGTTGCCATATTCCCCACCTTCAGAAGAGAGCTCCTCTTCACCTTCACCAAAGTCACCATCCCCGTCATTGTCATCTTCCTCGTCATCTTCATTGCCATCTTCCCCATCAGCATCTTCTGGCTGAGGCTGGTCTTGTGCATGGTCTCCCTTGACTCTGGGTTTGTCAGTCAGCAGCAACCCAAAGGAGTTCTAAAACCAATGTCAAAAGGATGTTTTCAGAGAACAGGTTGAGCAGAAACTACATAAGCCATAACACTTGAAGATTTTTATGAAGCGACAAACAAAATGTTAGTATCATCACGATACAGATAGCCAAAGGCTCTTTGTTGCAAAATAATTATCACTTGCAGATTTCAAAACTGAGACTGCATAACCAACCATTAAAACTAGTGCTTTGATTTAAAGAATTGTACTCAGCTTCCTTTACAGGCTAAGAAAAACAGTGTCATGCATGGGATCCTATCCTATGTGCTAAAGAATATGAGAAGCTTCATGAAAACTATAAACTTTCATACTTTAAAGAATCCTGTTATCTTCCAGCAATATGTACAGAAAAGAATAAGCATCAAACCTAGTAGGCATCTTGGAACAGAGACGTTCTTCTTTACTCAAAGTGAGGGACAGCAACATTGAATATTTTTTTCCTGTTTCCTGATGCTTAGAACCAAATGACATGACAACCAAACTTGGGTGGCAGTGGAATATGCTCCCACTGCACACTGAAAATGAAATATGCTATCTTCCCTTGGGTAAAGAAGGAATGAAACTTCTCCATATTTTGTCCCTTTCCCAAGTCAAATCCTATTGTTTTAACAGTCTACAAGAATAAAATCTCCAAAGAGCTTGGCTGTCTGCGTCTCATACCCTGATCTCGTAAGAATTTTTCCACCAAACCTTATGTGGTGATGGTGGTGGTACGGTACCCCATATATATGATTACTAAATCATCCAAATAAATAAAGACAATCATAGTTTCAGTTTCAGACACGGGTAACTCAAAAGAAACTTCAGAAATATTACTACATTAAAAGTGTGACGTGTCATGTTATGGTTTTACAAGGATATTATCAGAGGAATATTCGATTCCCCAACAAGAAGCCTGACTTTTTGTGTTTAAAACAATACACGACGAAAAGATATGGACATATAAATTTTATATTATTTTCCACGTGCGACATGTCCGAAACCCAAACTCAAAAGTCTCAAGCTACCCCCAAAAACGACCATAGTTAATGTTTTTCTCTTCCTCCCACAATCGCTTAAGTTAGCAAAAGACACCAATAGGGAAATGGCATGAGTTAGACAACCCAGTCCCCAACTACCCCAAAAGGAAATCCATTAGGAATCCGAGGTCCCCCCAAAAACAAAAACAAAAAAGAACTAGGGTCCCCAACAGCAACGGCGCATCTTTAGCATGAAAGTAGTGCAAAACAAATAACAAAATGCAAAACTGTTCTTTGGTGGAATCAATCCTCTAACAAGAAAACCATGAACAATAAACAGGCGAGTAGGCCAATGACGAAACAGAACATTCCTCAAACAAGAAGGCCTTCAACGGCGCATTTTAGCACTGATCTAAGGCAAAACCGAGAAACCCACAGCAAAAAAATAGCATAAAAATTAAAGAAAAAGGTAAAACTAAAAAAAAAAAAGGAGGAAAGCATAAGATAACCAATAAAAAGCGCGAAAAAGAGGGTTTTATGGCGCAAGATAGTATGGAAGGCAGAAACTATAAAAGGGACAAATTTTAAAAAGTATTAAAAAAGCAAAGCTAAGTTTTGTACGGTTAGTGTTACCAGAGCTAAAAGGTGGGTTTTGACCAGAGCCGACAAGAACATGGTAGCCAGAGTCTCACCGGCGGATGTTAGCGCGGCGGAACTAACCGTAACTGCCTTTGAACCGTGATCAGCCTCCATTTTCACGGCCAAGGATAATTCAAAAAAGATATCTGTATATTAAAAAAAAAAAAGGGTAACCTGCACAGAAAAGAAGCTGTATCGTTAGATCTGTATTGGAGCTATGTCAGCCGTTCGATCTGTTACTTTGTTTGTACATAGTATAGTACGAAACATAGCAAAAAAAGAAAAACAAATTTTCAAAAATTATGACAATAAAAAGTTGAAATAAATAGAAATAGCGAGAGTTTTACTAAAAAGAAATTAAAAATAATTATAGAAAATAAAAAAAAATTATAAAAGGCTTTTTAGAGAAAAAGACAATAAAGCACTTTCAGCTACGAGCAAGGCTCGCCGGCCGAAGTGGTTTTTTCGTAAAAAGATGTTATTTTTCAAGGCGAAATCGCTGTAACTACAGAGAATTAAAGTTAAAAAAGAGTCGAAAACGTTAGGAAATGTGGAATTTGAAGAGAAAAGAGGCGAAGAAGAAGAAGAAGAAAAAGAAGAAGGGAAATTAAAGGAAGGAAACGTACCGGGAAACGGAGATCAGAGCGAAGAGAGCGTGGATCTGAGGATTTGAAGGACTAAAAGCAAAGGGAACGAGCAAAAGGAGAGGCGTTCATTGTGGACCGTCCGATCGTGATCAATGAGACCTGAGAGGGAGAAAAAAGATATAGGGAGAATAATCACGCAGAAGCAAGCGGGAGAAGAGAGAGAGAGAGAGAGTACTGGGGAGTGACTGCCCGTAATTTTCCCCAGCGGGGCATCGGGCAGCATGGGAAGCGTTGTCAGTTGTCAAGTAGAAAGATTGTTGAGTTCGGGCTGACCGCGCGTGTAAGTAAGGACTAATGATATTAGGGTGGGGTAAGGTAATATTATTTAATTAATTTAATTGTTTTTTTGGCCCTTTTTAGCTGTTGTTTAATTAATAAAAATAGTTTTTTCTCTTAAACTCTCACACGTGTCCTTTCCTTTGTTTCTTCGTTCTTTAAAACTAACTTCAAAAGTTAACAAAAACCATAGAAGAAAAAAGATTTAGTTTTTTTTTTTTTATTACCTTTGGCTTGTTTCTCTTTATGTTCTTTTCCAAAAATTCTTTAAACACTCAATTATTAAGAAAAGTTATGCTTCAAGATTAAGTAATTTCAGTACGTTTATATTAGAATTTTTAATATAAAATACATATAAATTTGTACTATAAAACTTTAGATTTTTTAACATTTAATAAATTTTAACATTTCATCTTAAAATCTCAATTAAAAATTTTTAAATTTTAACTGTTGATCGTTCTCTCTCTCGTAACATTTTTGTCACGAACCTTTAGATTATTTGATAACATTTTCTTTTAATTTTGAAAAATGTACTCATTCAATTGTTAATTTTCGTAAAATTTCGTTAACATATAAAAAAAGAATATAAATATTAAAATTTAAATTTGATATCGATTAAATATTATTTTTTAAAAATAATTATATGAACGAACCATTTTAACCAAATGATTTTTCACCCCAATTGCGTGATTAGAATATAGATTAAAGCACAATAGAGATGATCTTTTGACTACTTTAGGATGTGTGGGATATTTTTTAAATGTAAATAATAATAATAATAATTTATCAACTTGTGAGAGATTAGTTTATTCCAACTCATTATTGGAGTCAGGGCAAACATGTATTATCATCGTATATGCTTAAATGATAAGGAATTTAGGAACAAGATTTATTCAGCATTTTGAGTGGCAGCAAAAAAAAAAAAAAAAAAATCTATTTGATAAAATATGTTCTCTTGAGTGGGTGGGGTAGGCTTGGCTGAAAATGATGATTGGGCTTGGAAAAGACTTCAAAGTAACCAAGTCAATGGCCAATATTTGGGCTCAAAATTGGGCCCAATGTTGGTTTTGAGAACATGGTACAAGATAAAACGGATTAAGAAGCCCAAATTTAACCCAATTATGATGTCGTACCTTTAACCAATTAAGCCTGTTAGACTCATTTTAATGTCCAAACATTAAAATAAAATTTTTCCCATTAATATAAGGCAACGGATAAACAGAGATATTTTGATCATTTTTATTTACTTACATTCTAATATCTATGTTAATTTGACCACCTCAATAACCTAGGCTAGAACATGTGGAGGTTGATTTGTCATGTCCTAAATTGATAGTCAATAATCAATTCAACTTGGATCTATGAGACCAACTCTAGTTTGTTAAAATTGACTTGGAGCAATTTAGATCTAAAATTCCTCGTTACATAAGTATAAGTAATATTATCTAGATAATTTTAAAATATTAAAAATTCATTTACTTTTAAGTCTTTATTTCATTATTTTTTATTTTATTTTTAAATCAATATTTGATTTGAGTATCGAAATATAAATATTAAAATTATTTTTTATTTTTATTGTTAATTTTTTTTTTTTTTATCTTTTCAAAACAACTAGCACAAACAAAGCCCATCTATGAAAGCTTTTTTTTTAATTTAATATTAATTATACAATTAAAGATTAACTTTTTCTTCTTTCAAAAAATTTTTTTTAATAAATAAACTCTTAATCTCTAAATCTCTAAACCTCAAATTTTAATAGTTGAGATCTCCTTTTAGAGACGAAATGTTCCTCGTGTAACCAAAAAGGTCAGATTCCCACCAAAAAAAAAAAGTAAAACACCCCCCCCCCCACGCCTGCCAAGTCAGTCAAGATCAACATCGTCGGATTTTTGCATTAAACAGGCCTAGCTACATTTCTTGCCCTCACACCATAGGAGACGAACCTAGCTAGCTATCTATCTAGGCCCATATTCATTGCAAAAGACGGCTGCAATAATTTTTCCTTTTATCTTTTACTAGACTTCCAATGATTGAATATGGTAACAAACATCCCATCAAAATTATTCCGATAATTTAAAATATAAAAAAATAATATAAAAATAACATAATTTAAAATTTTAATAATTATTATATATAAATTTAATAAAATAAAAAATATTTTATATTTTTATAATAATAAAAATTATAATATATAATTTAAAAAATAATACGAATATATAAATTTTAATATTTTATATCATATAAATAAATTACAAAATTTAATCAAAATCATAGTTTCTTGCGATGTTTGAACCCCATATCGTGCTTTGCGTGTCCCGTTGCTTCCCACCAACAACATTCAGATTTAAAAAGGTAACTCTAAAGCCGAATTCTGCATGGTCTTTCCGCCCTCCGCTTTTCTACGTGTTTAGATAAGAAGCATTATGATAGAAGAAAAGGGGCTTTGTTTTCTTACAATTTGTTCTTAGTTTATTGAAGAAACTAACCTAAAAGAAAAAGTACTTCAAGAATAAAAAACAATTTAAAAAACAATCTACACTACATAAGTTAAAACTTTACACCTAATGTGGATGAGTGCGATCTGTTTTTAATTACTTACTATGGATTTTGTACTTTACTTTATGAAACCGTATCAAGTTTTATGTCTGATGAGAAAGCTAATCAAAAGGTTACGCGTTTGAATTTAAATTTAAATTTAATAAAATTATATAAATATTTTAAAAAATAATCTTCAATATTAAATTTTTTATTATTTTCAGACACTCATCTCTTTTACATTAAAAGAAGTTACGATTTTGTCTCGAACAATCTTTAATTAAAGTAAGTGCTTTTTCTCCTTAAAAGCAAATATTGTTTCTAATTCAAGTAGGAATTTTATGTTTTGCTTTAAACTTGGAATACATGCATGAAAATGAGATGCATTTTAAATTTTTCGTACAATTATTTAAAACAAATATTTTCCAACTTTTGTCTCGATAATATTATTTTAAATTAATATATAAATTACAACGTGCGTACAATTAAAATAAACAATCTTTAATTAATAATATATTTTAAGTGTGTGTGTACAGGTGCGTGTCGATATGAATATTTATAGAGAAGAATTTGCATGGCATAAATTAAGTGAAAGAAGGATGTTGATTTTGAACCCAAATGAAAAAAAAAAAAAAAATTGAAGAAGGATGTTAATTTTAGTTGCTCTACCTCAGTAATTAAGTTATGGGTTAAATAAATAATTTCCATTAATAATACATAAATAAACATATAGGAAATGTTATCATCATTCCACAATAGAGTGTATTAATAATAAATTAAAAACAATGGTGCACGACGTGAAGGATGATTGAGAAGGTTGCAAAATCAAACATAAAATAAAGCATATGATATATTAGCATATTGAGTATGGCCAGCAGTGCCCATCAATTTCTTCAAATTGCATCCAAAACTATATATTATTATTGTTATTAATAAACACTTTGTATTAATTTAATACTTGATCTTTAATCGCACGCATTAACTCCGGCGCTAATTTCTCTCTAATCTTTTTTTTTTTATAACTAAATTTTCAAATCAAAGCAAATTGTACCTCGTCAACTAACAAAGATCATGCATACGAGAATAGTACCGATAAAAAACTATCAACACAATTTGAAATGAAAATTATTTTTTTTGTTTTTTTAATAAATTTTTTTGAATGTATCAAAATTATATATATATTTTTAACACCTAAAATTATTTTTCATAATTTACATGATTTAGCAGTAATAGTTATTGGTTAAGTTTCAATTTTAATTATTTTCCTTTTAAAGCAGCTAATAGGAAAACACCTCATTTTCAACCCAAAAAAAAAAAAAAAAGTTGCATTAGAAATGTGAGTTGAGAATCTAATATATATATAAATATATATATATGTTATTCTAAGTTTTTTTTTTTTTTTGGAGGGTTGAATCTTCATAAAATTGTGACGCCAACGCAAGCCATCCATAGTGGCAACCCACTTTAGATTGCACTTGAGAATAATACCACAAATTTGAAATAGCAAAAAAGCAAAGTGCAATTGCGTGACGTTTTCTTCTCTTTGTTCAAACAATAAAACAGAGAATATGAAAAGGAAAATCACTAAGGAATCAGCCAACCATTGGATTGCACCACCCAACCATCATTGCTACTTTACACACACCATTGCCACCCACATCACTTAAATATACGTATTATTTAATAATAATAATTATTCATTTAAACTTGTCCTCTATTCAACCTTTTCAATCTCAATTTCTTCCTACTAGATTATCCATACTTGGTATATAATTAATTAGTTAATTTAGCCATGTCTTGTTATGTATGCTTTACCTATACTCCCTCTAATTGGCTCTAATTAAGCATTAATTAGTCCTCCAATAGGCTTGATCCAAGTTTTAAATAAGAGATTTTGAAGTTTGAAATATTTCAAAATTATTAAAAAAAGATTTTTATTTAATTTTAATATTTAAATATACATTTGAAAAAAATTTAGGTTTATTTGAGTCGAATTTTAGACAAGAAAGTTTCAAAACCAATAAAACTTGGCTCGATCCGACCTTATATTTCTCAAATTTCAAGGTAGCAATTAGAATTTTTTTTTTTTTATTAATTCTTATGTGTGTATGTATATATAGGAAATGAAGAAGTTGTTGAAAAGCTTAATTTCTTCTATATCTAGCTAGTGCTGTTTTTGTAGTGTTGGTAATTATATGTAGTGCAAATGGAATCATTGGTATCCCAGCTAGCATAGAATGGCATTGAATGTCATTTCTAGAACTAATACCATGAAAAATGGGAGCAACAAAAGTAATTGGAATTTGGGACTTTGATATTTTTATCAACTCAGACATTACATATATAGATTTGGATAAAAGAAAAAGTGATTAATTCAAGTTCTCATGCATGAAGCTTCTTTTTTAAGTTATAAAATTGAAGTGGGTACTTTAGTTTAAAGTAATGCCCCTATGGCAACTTGCCTATTTTACAAACTTGTTTATCAATATGGCATAGATTCAGATTTTGCCTACTCTACTGCCTAACTTAAAGTATCTCATCCTTAATTTCTCATTCTTTTTTTTTTTTCTCGAATTGAAATGGAGTAAATGTTTGTTCGTACTTATAATTTAATTTTGATTACAAAATCAGAAGTAACGCCTTTTCGATCATCTATCAAACCTCAGCATTCCATCTTTAATTTAAATTTGGAACTATTGAATTTTTTTTTATAAAAATATTAGTCAAATTTAATGTAATAGGGTTAATTTTTTCTCTAATTCACAGCATTAAATTCTTATGAAAAAAAGTATAGGAAGATTTGATCTTTAAAAATTTTAAGAGTTTAATCAGCCAATTATCACCGATTTAAATTTCAATATGTATAATTAATTTTCTATCTTCAATTTACAAATTTTTTTTAATTTAACAAAAAAATGTATACTATTAATTATTACTGATAATACCATTTTTTTTATGTATATCAATTCCAATATAAGATTGTCTGTAAAGGATGTGCTTTTATATATAAAAGAATTTTTTTTTGAAATTAAATAATAAAATTATTAACAAAGTGTTTATAGGAAAATTTTGTCTAATCTAAACACTAACTTTTTGAACGATTTTTAAGGTTTTAATTTGATAAGAAATAGACAACGTTCTGATTTCAAATCCTGTTCATGTAAAAATGTTTCAACTTTCTCCATATGACTTGACATAAAAATGATGCAGATTCTACGAGCAAATAATGAAATTAAAAAATCTTTAAAAGGTTGAGACTTGACGCAATCAAACCAAAAGGATAAACAAGAACCAAATACTGGCATCAGAGTCAAGGTAGATTTGGTACTACAAAGATTTTATCTTTTTTTTCCCCTAATTTAATATAAAATCTTAAAAATTTTTCGTATACAAGTATTTAATTAAATGATCGATATATATGTATTCTCGATTTTTTAAATAAGATTAAGTTTTTTTAAAATAAAAAAATTTAAAGCTTTTTATTAAAGTTTATGCATTAAAATTGAATAATTATGCAAATTGTTACCATCTTCTTATAATTATTTAAGTTTTTAAATATTTATTTTTATTTAATTAAATTTTTAAATGTTTACTTTTTTTAATTGAATTACATATTGATGGTTTATTAATAAAAATTTAATTGAATAAAAATAAATATTTAAAATTCAATTAATTGTAATATATTATTTAATTTTAGTTTATAGTTAATTTTTTATACATGGACCTAAACTTTTCAAAAAATTTTTTACTCGTTTTATAGAATCTCGGTATTTCAAATAAACCCCAAAATAGTAATAAATTCTAATATTCTTTTTGTTTTTTCACAAATTCAATAAGTCAAAAACCAGAAGTACCCCACCCCGAATTTTCCAATCGAAAAGCCGTTACCATGCCACTGCCAAAAGAATAAAATCAAACAACACAAAAAGTTTAAAAGCCCTTTCCACGCGCCCTGATAGGCGGATTAACACACGCGTCCACTCCTTCCCCCGCGAAACACATTTTCACCCTCTTTCCCTCCCACGCTCTTAGCCAGCTCTTGAAGCTCACTCTCCTTCTTTATCAAGTATATCGACTTCCTAAAGGGTGAAGACAACAATTTCAAATGACGTAAGGCAACACGCGAGAAGGGCGTGTGTAGGTTTAGAGAGGAATGGTGCGTAGGATAAGAAGCCACCTGGTGCGCACATCAGGTATAGTGGAAAGATGGCAAGTATTTTTCAAAAAAATTTAATTAATAAATAATTTTTTTTTAAAATGTAAAAATTGTTGACTCGCTGTAGATCACGATAACACAAAGACAAATACAAAGTAATAATTAAAAAAAGAAAAATTATACGAAGAATACAAAATAGTATTATAGTAGTGGAAAATTAATTAAAAAAATTAAAAATAAATAAATAATTGGGGAACAGGTTGAAGGGGTTGTATTAAGGTGTGGTGTTCTCTGTAGGATTGATGTTTGGGAATGATGGGACTGAGGGGTTTGGGATAGAAGGAGGAGCCTTTGCTTGTTGGATTTCAACTGGGTTTTTTTTTTTGCTGCTTCTGCTTTTTGCTGTTTTGTACCTCTAATTTTAGCGGGAAACTTGTCCTAACGACCCTTTAAACAAAAAGGTTGGTTTTTTCTTTTCTCTTTTCTTTTTTTTTTTTTTGAAAAATTTGGTGGGTGTTTGGTTTCGGGGAAAGTTGGGGGAAACCAGCAGAAAAACATAATACTCAATAACTTTTTTTTTTTGCTGGTTAAGTTGTTTAAACAAAGGGTTCTTTATTATTATTATTATTATTAGTATTGTTGTTATTCTTTGAATTAAAAGTTGTTTTGGAAATTTGAGTTCTCCCCTGTTAATTTTTATTTTTATCATAAGATGGAAATTAAAAAAAAAGTATTGAATTTTTTCTTTCTGGAGTTAGGAAAATGGATTTTCGGTTGAAACAAGTTATTGGTTAGCTTTTCTATTTGATTAATTCTGGGTTTACCATTTAATTGTTAGCTATGCATCTTTTGCTCTCTTTTCTCTGGCTTGGATGAAATGCTCTTGGTCATTTTTTTTCTTCTGAATTGTTTGAAATTTGTTCAGAGGTGAAAACTGATGGAATAAATATTGATTAGAGTTATAATGTTTTCTTTCATATTTGATTTGGGGATTTTTTTTTTTTTTTGAATTTGTTGCTATTGAATATCTCAAATAGATGTTCTGAAATCCACTTTATCCAGATTCATATGCTTAATTTTTTTTGGTACTTGTATTTCTTCTCCTCTGTTTTAGTGGACCTGTGGCTGTTTTAGTAGGACCTGCAATTGTTTCAGTGCCATCCAATGTGATTCTGAAGCAGAAGAAACTGTTTTTCTGCAAATTTTGTTAAATGGTCTGTGCATATTAGGAAAGGTCCTATGGAAGAATATCTTGCTAGAGTTTTTATGGTAATGAAGAATTTTGGGAGTAGGATTAGGTCCACCATGAACACACCGAACAGTGAGCTCCAATAATGGCAATAGTTGACAGCTTAAGACTGAGTTGAATAGAGGAGAATGATATGAAAAGAGGGATGTCATGATTGGTGTTCAATCTTTTCTTACACTTGGATACAAATAATCTGTGTTTTCTGAGAAAGCACCAAATTGATTTTGCATCATTGGTTTCCCTTCAGTGGAATTATAAACAATATGGACTCGGGAAGTTAAAAAAGATGTCACTCTCCATCCTTTACTAACTATCCACTATAATCTATGACTTTGCATTGCATTCACTGAGTGTTGCCGATGCCAATATCACCATAGATTTATCTTCCTTAACTGCTAAGCTTCTATAATGTCCGTATAGAAGAGTCCAACTGCAGTTTCATAGTATTAAGTATCTTCAAAGGTTTTTATGAAGTTACTTTACAGCAGCAGGTGTTGACAAAACTGAATTAGACTGGGGAGGAAATGGGAACTTTAACTTTATAATAGCAAAAGTAGGTCAAAAGGGGGAAAACAGAAAGAAGAATAGATAAACCTGTATACGTGGATAAAATATTGGCAGACAAGGAATGGTTATAAGGTAATAGGATTAGTTGCTTGCAGAAGTACAAGGATCGTGGTTGCTGAAGCTATTAAGTTGAAACTGAAAGATCAAGTTTTAGATTAGGACAATTCTTTTTCTTTCTATTTTTGGTATCGTTTACTCCTTCTCATTGTTTCTGACATTTAGGAACTGCATTTTACTTGTTTACTCTTGCATTAGTTTTCCTGAAATACAAGCCGATAAAAATTTTTAATGCAATGCTTGTTTGAGTGCCATGATATGGGTAAGGAACTGACTGTTACTATTTTCTTTTTAAGATGTTTCTTCATATCTTTAACTACAATGGTGCATTGGAGAGGCTGATTCTACTCTCTTTGATGGTCACCTACCAAGTCCCTCATCCCGAATACTCATTCTATCTGTAACATGATGGGGCCATGCCCATGTAGCTTTGCTTGCAATTATAATGTTGAAAATTTACCCTCTTTCTCTCTCCCAGTTTTTGGTACGCAGATGGGTTTTGTTTTTTAGTCAAAGCTGACAATATGCATTGACTTCAGCAGTATATCTAATGTTTTGAGTAAATAATCAGAGGGGAAAATTTTCCTTGATGGAAGCCTTGGTCCTTTTTATTTCTCTAATAAAACCAATAAAATGGTTACTTGTGATTTAAATCACGAATTATTTTTTTAAAATTTATTTTAAATAAGGTTTGTATTGGAAAAATGCCTCCCCTTTTTTGTGTAAGTAAATATTTGCAAGTAAATGGTATCGCCTAACAAAGCAAAGCATAAAATTTTCCATTGATTCGATTGTTTGTGCTGCAACTTTGTCAATTTAACTTTTATAATTATCTTCTCTGTTGCTTGTCACATATTTGCTATTATGCCTGTTCTTTTTACTCTTCTAGCTAAGTTTATACACATCCATGTCTTGTTTACTTCCAGACTCTAAGCTCTCAAATGCCTTCAATATCAATTTGACTTGTACAAAGCCGCCTCCGTTATCAGTTCAAGAAGCATGAACTCTCCATCCACCCAGTTTGTGCCTTCAAGAAGGATGGGTATCTATGAGCCTATCCACCAGATTGGCATGTGGGGAGAAAATTTTAAGAGTAATGGCAATCCATCTGCATCAGTGATTTTCGAAGTGGATAATAAGCTAGAGAACGAGGTGCAAATTTTGGAGATATCATTCTTTGTTAAATCACATTTATCTGATTTTGGAGATATGTAACCTTTGTTATTTGAATTTTCCAGTCTGAGACTGCTTCACATGAAATGCTAGCACCTTCTAACAAGCATGACCAAGAAGCAACTAAACCTATTGATAAGGTACCTGTGAATTGTATGTGATGCTGATTATTTATTTCTTTTCTCATGCTAATGGATATAAATATTGTTCTGGATCATGCTATATGGTTTGTTGACAGATTCTCCTTTGGAATTTGAAAAAGATGGTACTGCTTTCAGTTCTAGATTTCTAGGTTCTATTCCTTTTGATCGTTTCTGCCATCCTTTGCAGATTCCTTTGCAGATTCTTTATCTTGCAAACAAACAAGTTCTTGTTTTTCCAACTGAGATTGCTATTGTAGTTTTTACCTTTTTTCTTCACTCTGAATCATATTTGGTGTGTGCCCGTTTGTCTTTCCTGAAAGAGTAGTGGATCCCAGTGTTTACAAGACTTGCAGTTCTGAAATGTGGTCAATGCGTGGAAGCTATTAATTTTTTTAAGATGAGTCTTGGAAATGCAATTATGGTTTTTTTTTTTTTTTTTTCATTAGTTCACGCTAATGGCATTATTATCAGATTTTTTTTTTTTAATTTTCTAATATTAGCAAGTAGATATTTTTATTTTCTGCTAGCTAATGAGGCCTTCTCTTTTGTTAATTTCTATGCTTGTATGCAACTGTGTAGCTCAATAATGATCAACTTCTTCAATTAACATGCCCATTATCTGAACAATCTAATTTAAATGGAAAATTATGTGTCCTCAAAGCAGTTCCATTCTTTGGCTGCTAAATTCATAGGTTAAGCGTCATATTAATTGTTGTAAGTTTGTTGATGATCTGTTTACCTTAAATAGGGGTCTAATCTGCTTTGTGCATTTTACCTTTAATATCTATAGATACAAAGACGTCTTGCACAAAACCGTGAGGCTGCTCGTAAAAGCCGTTTGCGGAAAAAGGTAAGGTGGATATGGATTTGCAGTGAAACAGATGGCCGGAAGGCCACATGCAAACTTTTGTAATAACTTGATTTGGCATTGCCTTGCAGGCATATGTTCAACAGTTAGAAAATAGTCGATTAAAGTTGATTAAGTTGGAGCAAGAGCTTGAACAAACGAGGCAACAGGTTTGAAGAAGATTAATATCATATCTATTTTTGTTTTATTTTGTCATTTTAAAAATGTTTAAAGCTACCTATGCAATAAAACTTTTACAGCAGGGTCTTTATATGGGTGGTGGATTAGAAGGTGGTCATCTTGGATTTTCTGAAGCAGTAAACCCAGGTTTGTTTGTCAAAATACTGGCAGTTATCATTATTACTTTTGAACTTTGGGTTGTTGAAACTCTATAAGATATTTTAGTTGTCCATCTGACATTTCAAAATGTATGAATGCTTGTAATTTGAACTTACGATTCATGTCTTATTTAGTTATTTCTACTATTATGTGATTAGATTGATGTTGCACCTTCAGATTAAGTGTTAAATGTTTTTCCTGAAATAAAGCATGGATTTAATATTTGCAAAGTATTACACCCTTGCACCTTAGTGAAACCTGTAGAATAATGCTTCAAAAGAAACGACATTAGCTGGGCATTCCTTGTCTTCGGAGAAAAGCTATTTAAATTTTTTCTTGAATGCAGCTCACTTTATTTCCTCACAAGTAAAAATACTCAACAAATTAAACTTTGTTCATTGGAAGTTATAAGTTTTCCTAGAGAAGTTACATGTTGTTTATAAAAGACCTTAACTTCTTTTAGCAGTTAATTTTTCACCTCTGGAGGGAAGCTGCTTAGCATTTCTCAAGCCCACTTTTCTGTTTTTGATAAATTGTAGCTGTCTTTTATCTCTTCATGAGTGGTTAGTTTTTTCACAGATGTCGATTTCACACCTTAAGAGAAAAAGGTCATCTTTTGCTTTCTTTTGCTACCTCCTTTCGCAGTTACTTGAAGATTATACAGCTTATTGTATGAATAAGTTATCAGAAACTTCGCTTATTTGATTGAATCTGAACTACATTCTTTATTTGTGTGCTATAAGGGCATTTTGATGCCGTCGATATTCATAGCCGGTGTATAATTGTCAGACCACCTTGAAATTTTTATGGTATGATATAAAGCTTCATTGGCAACTCTATGACGTGTTAAATGCAATCTTTCTGCAATAATTCCCTTTGGTGTCTTTTTCTTCTCATTGCAAAGTTAATTTTCATTCTTTAATGCTTTCAAATCTCAATGATATGAGGATTCTGCAGGGATTGCTGCATTTGAGATGGAATACGGACATTGGATTGAAGAACAAAACAGACAAATATGTGAACTGAGGAATGCTTTGAATGCCCATATAAGTGATATAGAGCTTCGCATACTTGTGGATGGTGGCATGAGCCACTATTTTGAACTTTTCCGAATGAAATCAACTGCTGCAAAGGCTGATGTTTTCTATGTGATGTCTGGTATGTGGAAAACATCAGCAGAGCGATTTTTTTCATGGATTGGAGGGTTTCGGCCTTCAGAACTTCTTAAGGTGATGCATAATTTAGTTTAATTAACTGCAGATCATGCTTTCCTTTTATAGGCCTTTTGTTAAATGAATGAGTCTTATTTTCATTGGAATTGGTCCAAGCTCTATTGTTAAATGTAGAATAATATTTTTTTTCTTGTGACTATATGTTGAATACAGGTGCTCGTGCCTCAGCTGGACCCCTTGACAGACCAACAAATCTTGGAAGTTTGTAACCTGAAACAATCATGTCAGCAAGCTGAAGATGCCCTTTCGCAAGGTATGGAGAAACTCCAGGAAACCGTGTCTGCCACTGTAGCAGCTGGTCAACTGGGCGAAGGAAGTTACATTCCTCAGGTGGCTACTGCAATGGAGAAGTTAGAAGCTCTAGTCAGCTTTGTGAACCAGGTAATAATTGCATCATCCCATGGCGCCACACATGGGTTTATTCCAAGAACTTTCATATTAGTATTTTTCTCCTAGTTTGCTCTTCTTTTAATAGTCCATATATTTTACCCATCAATTGGTTCTTTTGCATTTTAAAATAATATTTTTCTATATGCAGGCTGACCACCTTCGCCAGGAAACGCTACAGCAGATGTCTCGCATTCTAACAACACGCCAGGCGGCTCGAGGGTTACTTGCTTTGGGAGAATACTTTCAACGTCTTCGGGCTTTGAGTACACTATGGGCTACCCGTCCTCGTGAACCTGCCTAGCCATACAGTAGAAGATCCTACATGCATGTTGGTAGATGATCACTGCAAGAACTGTGTTCCTGCATACAGAGATGCCTTTTGGTAAATCATATCATTATAAATATAAGTAGCATCAATTTATGTTGCGACATTTTTTGAAGCAGCTTGTCGGAAAACTGAGATCTGAGATGTACATATGATCACTAGTTATTTTACCTAGGGGAAGGTTGTGATTAAATCAATTTTCAATGCTGTGTTGTACACCATATATACTCTTGAAATGATATATATATATATATATATTTATATATATACCAGTTGAAACTTTTATGTAAATTTCAATGTGTTGTTTCTGTATTATGAACATGGCCAATGCATAATTGTCAGAGTTTGTTGGTGTATTGGAACATTCATAGTTTGTCAACAAAGCTTCAATTGGTAGTAATTCATTGGTTCATAAAGTACTTCCAATCTGACAAGCAAAATGTTTTGTTTTCACTGTAGTGCTTGTTTGCAGGTTCATGGCCAAGGATTCTCTGCAGCGGTTCCGTGGCGTCAGCGCCTAGGATAAACGGTACGGCCAGGCTTGTAAAGTCGATGAATTGTGTAATTCTGTGTCAAATTTTTATCATCTTTTCTTGGCAATGCATTTGTGTATAGTGATTTTCTGAACACTGTGGAACCCAAACTACACTGTCTAGTTTATCGAGAAAGAACATAATTGTATCAAACATCCAAATACAAAGCAATATAGTTATTATTATTATTATTATTATTATTATTATTATCATAAAGGGAAGATCATGCTGGATTTTGATGCCAAAGGATCGAGATTTTACATAATGGTTTTTGCTCTTGATATGATTAACGCTCACAACTTTGACGTTGCATAATCCAAAGCATCAACAAGAAAATCTGCACAAACACAAAAATAACAGGTAACTATATCGTGCCAAATAAGGATTTAAGAAGGATTGGAAAACCAGATCATTGTCTGTCGCGATTAAGTTATGCAATCGGATAGCAGAAGAGAAAGAAAAGTACCCGCATCATCTTTGGTAAAACACATTGGTGGCTTTATTCTGAAAACGTTTCCATGTAGTCCACCTTTCCCAAGTAGGACTCCAAGTTCTTCAATCAGAAAAGAGAATGTTTAGCATAAATTTAGAAGATAAAGTATCAGAAAAAACATTTCTTTACGTATTTTTGATTCAAGAGTCGTGCCATGATACCTCTCATTTTCTCAAATAGGATGGCAGTTTCTGCCTTGGCTGGTGTCTTCTCCTTCCTGTCAGTAACAAGTTCTACACCCACCATTAAGCCCCTACCTCTCACATCTCCAATGACTGAAAAAAAAAGGGAAATTAGTAAATATGAGCATTTGATTCATTTAAAAGCACTAATTTGAGACATTATGAAGAACATGGACAAATTTTAACATAATTTATAAGTCCTAGATGCAATTTTTTAAACTACAAATGACCATTTTAATCTATCTATAAACGTTAATGACCAAAGACAACGAGAATTCCTAGCGTTCAGGAATCGAATAGTTTGCTCTTAAATGAAATTCAAAATTGCAAAATACTAATGGTTTATGAAAAAAATGCATGGGCAAGTTAAATACTATATTTAGAAAAGATACACCAAAAATGCAAAAGGGCTCTTATAAGTGCCGAATTGTAGAAGAATTACTATCATGTCTGTCCTGTAAAGATCTCAAGCGTCCAATCAAGTGAGAACCAACATCAGCACAATGTGTTTGACGCTTCTCCTTGTCCAGAACTCTAAGCACTGCAAGTCCACCAGCAGAACATACAGGATTCCCACCAAAAGTGTTAAACTGAATTTTTTGAGCCATAACATTTGCTATTTCTGGTGTTGTCACCACCGCTCCTAATGGTAATCCATTACCGATACCCTGACAAATACAATACATAAAATGTTACAGGATGCTACCATTTCTAATAGTAATACTAATAGATAGCTAAACTAAATGAAACTTATTTTAATAGAGAAAGAGGAGAAGAGCAGAGAGGAAGGGAGAGGCTCATAACAAATAAGGATATAATTTTACGTACCAATGTTCCAAGAATTTAAAATAAGCTACAAAGTTTGATGATTAAAGACCTTTGCCATGGTAACTATGTCAGGAATGACACCTTGAGTCTCAAAACCCCAATAATGGCTCCCTGTGCGACCAAATCCAGTTTGCACTTCGTCCGCAATGCAGACACCACCAGCCTTGCGTACAATGTCATAAACCTGTTTCAAATATCCTGGGGCAAGCTCAACTGCTCCTCCAGCTCCCTAATGTTAATTAAAATTTGAAAATTTTAGTATCCAGTTTTATAGTGATAAAAACATTAAAAAAGCACCTGAAGAAGACAACTGTCCATTTAACCTGAAAGGTTTCTGCTATAAATCCAGCAACTTTGCCTGAAGTGCCATAATCAATGTGATCTTGTACATCTTTGGCGTAACGAGCAGCATCAGAGCCAAAGACTCCACGGAAAGGATCAGGATTTACAACATGATGGATTTCACCCTGCAAAGTGCCCATGATAACATTCGGAAATCAGCAGTTTAGTTTGAATGATAGTATCTGACAGAGAGCTATTATATGGATGCAAAGGGAATTTATAATCATTGCACAGCTAAAATTGTTAAAATGAAGTGTGAGACATGTGCACCTTGGAAACTAAGGTTACATATCCCCTTTTTACATAGATACTGTTTGGTCTTTTATGAGTGCTAGTCCCAAGGAAACCACAAAAAATGAACCACATTAGAAAAAATTCAAATTGTATTGTACTTTTAGAATAAGCATAAACTTCAGGGTTGGAGGGATGCGTTGTTCATCCACAACAGCACCTTTTAGTCCTCTAATTTCTCAAGAATAGAAGGGAATACTGTCATTTAACTCTAATATTTTAAATGATCTGCAGCAAAGATCCCCGATATCGATTGAATATTTCAATTCCTTAATCTTTTATGAAAGATGGTTTTGGCAATGTTAGTTAAGTGGACAAAAGGTATCTACAAATGTACCCACCTAGATGCCTTTATGGAAGCAAGAAGGAGCTTGCTTTTTTTTCTGGCAAAAGAGTTTTAGAAGTAGTAGCTTGCATCAAACTGTCTAAAAAGATATAGACAATATCTAATACTAGTTATTTTTGTTTCAAAAAGAAAAGATCTTTTGCTTGAAGCCATAAAACTACAATATCAGCTCCAAACTTGGCATAGTCTGATCAAAATTTCTAGTCAATTTTGATATTAAAAGAATAGTCTTAGGAAGCCTTTAGGTACATTGTTGATGAAAAGTACAGGACACAAATTATTCTAATACCATGTTTAGTAGTTACTTGGAGAGGAGGAAAAGATGACTCCTAAGATGGGATTATTCAATAGTCAATCCTACTAAAAAAAAGATTATTCCAATCTCATGGGATAAGATTGTGAGCTGAATAGCCACCAATAAAAATTGTTTCAATGTTTCCTATTACCCATAAAATAGTGAGTTTTCCTTAAAAGAAGGCATTTAGTATTCAATCATAAAAAAAAGGCAATGTTGACCAGAGGCAGAAGTTATTCTCCTAATCATACTTGCATCAAACAGATCACTTGAATACAGTCCAAAATTATTCTCCTAGCAACCGGAGTTGGTATCAAAGCAGGTTTTGCTTGTGTGTTTTGTGTGCAGGTTGCTAGATCGCAGTCGAGGATATGGCATCCCAGAGCGATGTTACTAGCTAACAACCAGAGGCCCAAGAGCAAAGCCATGGAAGGGGGAAGAAGGCTAGTTCAAGAGACATCTGGTCTACCATGGACATGAGGCTGGCCAAGGTGGAGGTGACAATGGTTGACGTAAGGGGCAAGCTTGACGAGATGGAGGCTCGTTTTGAGGATATGGACTCTAGGGAGGAGGAGCTCAAAGGCGAGATGCAAGCTGCCCCGAATGAGACAATCGACATGCTCACCCAAAGGAATGAAGCCTTGGAGGCCATGATAGAGACCATGCGCAAGGAGTTTGAGGAGCAGCTCACTGCTTGCAAGACAACCATTGACAACCATTGGGAATGGCGTGATTGCTGGTAATCCAAAGTCTCGTGTGGAGATCCCCAAGCCTAAGGAGTTCAAGGGGACTAGAGCTACAAAGGAAGTGGACAACTTTCTATGGGGGATGGAACAGTACTTTTGAGCCATAGGCATGCATGATGATGCCACTAAGGTAAGCACTGCTTCCATGTATTTTATTGATGTCGCCTTATCGTGGTGGAGGCACAGGTGTGATGATGTTAGGCGTGGGGGCGCCATGACTGGAACCTGGGATGCATTCCAAAAGGAGTTCAGAGAGCAATTTTACCTAGAGTATACCAATGATGAGGCGCAGAAAAAATTATGCCGGCTTACTCAGCAAGGGGACATAAGGGAGTATGTCTAAAAGTTCTCTGAATTGATGCTTCAGATTTCATATTTGAGCGAAGTCAAGGGTCTATTTGCTTTCATGGATAGGCTCAAGCCATGGGTGAAGCACGAGCTACAAAGGCGGGAAGTTCGTGATCTGGCCAAGGCCGTGACTATAGCTGAGTCCTTGGTGGAGTTTAGGCCACAAAACAAATTTGAGTCTTCCAAGCCCAAGGGGAAGGGCAAGGACAAGAGGGACCAAGAGAGACAATCCAAAGGAAAGGATCGTGATTGGCAGTCCAAGGATGGGAACCAAGACCGTTCGGAAAAAGATGGCCAGGGGAAGCCACCAGTAGGGAAGTGGAAGGTTAAAAGGGACCGGGAGTCAATCTTTTGCTACCTATGTGGAGAAGGCCTCAACTATAAATAAAGGATCGCCCCACCCTCATTTGTACATCATCAGACATTCTTGTTTCAATAATCCACAGAGCATATTCCAGCATTCTATTGTGTTCTCTAACTTACATATTCCAACTTTTCTTGTTCTTGTTTACCCGCACACTAGCTGCAAAGGCTGAACTTAAGGATACGGAGTTAATTCCAATTCCTAAGCTCGCACAGATTTAGGCTTAAGTCCAGAGCCCGTGACAGTAGGCTAAGGGGTCAAAGCGGACAATACCTCACAAGGGTGTGAACAGTGACAGTTAGGTTGTGAACAGTGACAGTTAGGTTGATCTGGAACATTGTATGAGTCCATGCTTGAGTTTTGAAGCCGCACGAGCCTGGAGGTTAAGTCTTAGCTCGTGACAAGTGGTATCAGAGTAGGCCCTAGACCATTCGACCCACATCAAACGACCATTCGACCCACATCAAACGCCTCGAGGGAGGTAGGCAGGGTGGCTAGCCTTCATGACGAAGATATCACGAGGTTGAGTGTGGGAGAATGTCATGCCAAGCGCTCCAAGAAGGAGTAGGCAGGATACTCCAATCCTACATCGAACATGAAATGAGGTCACCAGGGTATAAAAGAGTTCACATCACCCTCTTCTTGTGAGACACAAGGGGGTCATCGAGATGTAAAAGGGTATAAAAGGGTTCACACCACCCTTTCCTTGTGAGGTGCCTTTTGTGAAACAAAACCGTGAGGTCAGAGAGACCAGAGCGAATAATATCTTACAAAGATGTAAACTGTGACAGTTAGGTTGATCTGGGACACCAGATGAGTCCATGCCCGGATCTTAGAGCCGCATGAGCCTGGAGGTTGAGTCTCGGCTTGTGACAAATGGTATTAGAGTAGTCCTTGGACCATTCGACCCATGCCAAATGTCACGGGCCGAAACTCAACCTTCAAACTTGTGCGGCTTCAGGACTCGAGCATGCATTCATCCGGCGTCCCCTAACGATTTTATCCCACAAAAGGCGCCTCACAAGAAAGAGGTGGTGTAAACCCTTTTTATACCCCAGTGACCCTCCCTTTCATGTCCGATGTGGGATTAGAATATCCTGCCTACTCTTCCTTGGAGCGCTTTCTACAATTTCCATCGTGCCAACCCTACAATTCAACTTCATTTAGAGCTAACAAGCAATTGGAACAAAGGAATAGTGAACTTATCTAATGACTTAACAATATTGAACCAATTCAAGAAGTAAAAGTTAAAGAATAAGTTGAATGGCAGCTAAAACAGCAAATTTAGTTTTGAAGAGAAGTGCGTGATTTGAGTTGTGAACCAATTAACAATGCCATGACATGTATATGAATTATCTAAGACACGATCGGTATACAAACCTCTGGTATTGGGTACTTCCATGTGCTTAGGGCAGTGAGTCCAAGAGTACTAGAACTTCCACCATGATATGCATTTCTCAAGGAAATCATACCAAGATTACCAGTGTATAGTCTGGCCATCAGCATTGCTAACTCATTCGCTTCACTCCCAGAATTGACAAAATAAACTACCTGCAGGGAAGGTTAATATTGTTAGGATATGATTTGGCAGAAAATATTAACATTCCTAAAACAATTATTTCCAAGGCATTAAGTGATCAATTAACCAAGCATTTCTTTTCCTGTTATTTTTGCAAGGAATACCATCAGCCAAACACTCTGTTTGTTCAATCAACAAAGCTATATTAACAAAAGTGGTTAAATTGATATTGCTCTACTTAAAATTAAGAAGAAACACATGAAAGAAAAGCATTTGTGATCATGCTTTAACTACTTGCATTTCGCTTTGATAAAGTTTATTACTACTATTAAGATAAAACAAAGAAAAGAACAAACAAACATATTTTAATTAAAAATGATCAAATCAGATGATTCAGAAAAAAAAACAAAAGGAAACATTAAAAATCTAGTGATTCTTCAACAGAATAGAAAACAAAATAAAAAATTAAATTGAAAAACTAAACTTTGGCTAAAGATTAAGATATCAACCTTGAGATTTCCAGGCATTTTGGAAGCCAAAGCTTCAGCAAAATCAGCAATGGCGTGATGGAGATAAACAGTGGTAGCATGCTGAAGGAGTTTGCTTTGCTCCATGATGGCGTTCAAAACCTCCGGATGGCAATGTCCACACGATACCGTTACGACCCCAGCAAATGCATCCAAATATCTCCTCCCGTTTTCATCAAACAAATATTGCATTTTCCCTTCAACAATATTCAACTGAACACAATTTTTTTAATAAATAAATAAATCATGAACATACAAAATAGAGAAATTATATAATCTGGAAAAAATGAAAAATTTTTACGGGCTTCTGGTAGTAGTAGAAGAGAGAAGGGCCCAAGAACTTCTTCCGCTTTTCAAGGATTTCATCGGCCGACGGTCCGTTGTACGGTTTGGGTTGGTAATCGAACGGTGGAAGCTGACGTGGCGCATCATCGGATGCTGTAGAAGAAGTAACCGTAGAGAAGGAACTGCAGGGAGATATTGTACGGTTACGAATAAAGTTTAATTTTGCTTTGGCTTCTTCTACGGTTCGTTTCCAGATTCTTCTCTGCAGCATCGCCATATCTTATCACAAAAGAAGAATTCGCAGATTCTTTCTTTTCAAAAACAAATATTTAGAGAAAATGAAGAGATTTATTTATGAAGTGATTGGAGTGCTATCGGATTGAATTTCTACAGTTTCACAGTTTTATTGGTAAAAATCATTGGAGTTTTGCGCCGGTTGTGGAATTTCCCGTTTTAAGCTATCTTTTGGAAATGGTGGGACTGAGATGACACCAGATACAATAGATTCCAATTCCAACGCCAGACAAAAGATTCGATTCTTTGATTCAATTACAGATTTTTTTAATTATTAATCATACATTATGTGATTAAGTTTTTTCAAATTAGTAATTTTAGCAGCACATCAGATGAGTTAATACTGATATTGCTTCTTACCCATTAAAAAAATATTGATATTGTAATTTAATTAACTCTAATCACGCTGATTATCCCTTGCTTAGCAACGTAATTATTGGGTATTTTTGAGAATTTAGAGTTCTGATAAGGAATTTGGACTTTGCAGGACTGTAATTGACATTTGTTTTTAAATTATTTTATTATTTTATAAGTACTTAATATACTGATTAGGAAATAATAGAAATGGGTTCCAGCTGGCAACGATTAATTAAAGCTGAACAGGACAAAAATAAGACGTGTATTAGGGTCGCACTTACCATATCACTTATCTGATGAGAATCTAAATTCAGTACCATATTCATTTTTGTACTATAAATTTTTCATGATTGGATATGCACCATTGATATCATTTATAAATTTTTTATTATAATATTATAATTATTCAATCATAATAAATAATTTTTTTTGTGACAATTCCACAATTATTCAATCCCATTAGAGTTAAAATGAGGGAAAGTGAAGCAAAAATTTGCAGTCATAAGACATAGTACACAGTGATTTCATGAATTTTCCAGTCCCTTACCTGTCTTCTTCTTCTCCTTTCTATGGGAAGTTGATGTTCCATCAAGTTACTCTCGCATGAGATACTGATTTACTGGTTGAAATGTGAATGCCTGTGATATTTAGCTAATTACCATGGTAAAGAAGATCAGCCTTCTCTGATTTCTCTTTTTCTTTTCTCTATATGCAAAATGAAGTTGACTGTCATTGTGAAGTAAGATCATTCCCACGGCTATTTACACTAAGTTCAAGTAATATGTACCATGTATAAAACAAAAGTTGGAGTCTTGGTCAGAGCAAGCAAGCTACCCTATCCTATTACGAGAAGTAATTCTTCGAGACAAAGCACCCTGAAGAGCAACATGGATAATTTTAAACATGAGATCAAAGTTAAAGAGAAACAATAAAGAAAACAAACCATTCTAGACATTCTGACATGCATAGAATCCATTTGGAATAAGGATCATAAAATTATGGGAACCATAGAAAGTTCGGAGAAGGCGGAAAGCTGGATTCGATATGATAAAAGTAGGGTATCACAAACCAATGGCCCCATCTCAGTTCTTTCTAAAATTAATATCATAGATACACTGATATTCATAAAACTATTATGACATCACTGTACTAATCAATCATTCATTGGAAGAAATATCTGCCTACTCTAATTCAAAAGGCAAAGTGGGCAACTCTGTTTAAGGGCTTGAAATCTTCTTACATTGTAACATAACTGATTACTATTTCTTTTCTTACCAGGAAAAAGCTATTACAGAATAACTGATTATATTACATTCATGCTCATTAAGGTCATCCAATAACCAGAAAGACTGTTCCCTTCCCCACACATTGAGAAATACAGTAGGCGAAGATATTGAAGATATTCTTTTTGTGCTAGATGGTGACTGTTTATCATGACAATAGAAAGCAGAAGTCAAATGCTCCCAAATGCTAAACAAAGTAAGGTTGGATGAGGACAGTAATCTTTTTGCACAAGAAGGTGACATTTTATCATCAGAATACCAGGTAGATTTATAATGCATCATTTATTACCATTTTCTTTTGCAAAATAATGGACATAGAATTCTTCATTATTTAAAAGAATCAAAACAAGTTCAGTGCCCAAATATGATTGAAACTTTTATGGGAAGGTCTACCATATGTTATGTGCAGCAGAGATTGACTTCGGAAAGACATTGCTTTCGTCTACTCTGAAATCCAGATACTGTGCAGATTGACTTGACAAAGATATTTCCTTCAAGAAAAATTCCAGACCTCAAACTAAAGCAAGTGTAGCAATACATTGTTGTGCCTTCCTAAAAATAGAGCAGCCAAGTGCAATCAAACGTTATACATGCTTAAGGCCACAAGATGCCCGAAATATCCGACTCTGCAATCATGTGTTGATGCCCAAGAAGCAGAACTCTAGAGGTAAGTCTGTCAGGGTGGAACTCACTTCACTTGTGAAAAAGCATCTAGTTTTTAATGTCAGGATCAGCCTCTTTGACAACAAACAGTACTGTACTCTTTGCTATGCAGTTGTTTCCAACTCTATCCATTACCTACCAATAGTCGCGGCAAGAACAGAAACCATCCCTGAAATGGTGAAAACGAGTAGCATCTCTTATGATAATTTCTCTGCCAAAGAGTTTGGATATAAACTTAATGGCAGAGTGGCAGTCATTACAGACTCTGAGGTTTTTCATGATCCTCACAGTGGTATTCTCTGGAGTACTTATTAGCGCAAAAGCAATGGCCAATTTCTCACTATGATGTCTAAGCATCTGCTCCTTTACTTCTTCCTCAAGGTCATGTAATACTGATTCAATATCTGGAACAAAGCCCATCTTTTTTATATCTTCCCATATCTTTGCCATCATCTTGTAGATTTCATCTTTCTGTGGATGAAGCCCATCCTCAGCTCCAAAGACATGGACTTTGTTCTTTATCTGAACCCAACTAATTCCTTGTTCTTTCTTCACCCCTCCTTCCCTCATTAACTTGCGAATTTTTGCAGCATCCTCCCACTTTCCACAAACCGAATACAAATTAGATAGCGCAGAGTAGGCCCCACTGTTGTCGGGTTCAATAAGGAGCAATCTTTCTGCTGCAACCTTTCCAAGTTCTACATTCTTATAAACCTTACAAGAAGATAGGAGTGAACCCCAAGTTATAACATCTGGTTCAATGGGCATTTTTTCAATAAAATCATATGCCTCTTGTACCAATCCAGCTCGCCCAAGAAGGTCAACCATCAATGCATAATGGCTTAGTGTTGGTTCTATTTTGTGAAAATCTTTCATCATATTATAATACCTATGGCCCTGTTCTACCAGTCCCACATGTGTACAAGCAGAGAGCACGCCTACATATGTTATATGGTCAGGCTTAATTCCAGCTGCCAGCAACTTTTCAAAGAGCTCAAGGGCTTCTTCTCCAAGGCCATGTTGAGCGAGAGCCATTATCATGGATGTCCAAGATACGGTATCTCTAAGCCAATGTATCTGATTGAATACTTGCCTAGCACAATTTATGCTTCCAGTTCTAGCGTACATGGTAATTAGAGCATTGTTCACAGAAACCGAGGATGCTTGTCCAGTTCTTATGGCACTTGCGTGAATTTGTTTGCCATGACTCAATGAAGTCAAGCTTGAACTGACACTCAACATGGCTGCCAGAGTGAAGTTGTTTGGTTTTGGACCATCTCTAACCATTAACCTAAAAAGCTCCAATGCATCACTATTCAAGCCATTCTGCAAGTATCCAACGATCATGGCAGTCCATGCAACCACGTCACGGTCTCTCAATGAGTCAAAGATCTGTCTAGCTGGTTTTACATCTCCAAGCTTAATATATCCATCCAGCAAGGATGTAAATGCAATAATATCAAGGCGTGAAATCCCACTCTGCTCTACAATCTTTTGAGCAATTTGAACCCCACCAGACTTTGCATACACTGAGATCAAGGCATTTCCTACTGGCCCATATGTATCCAAGTTGGTGCTAACAATACGAGCATGGATTTGTTTCCCAAGTTTCAACATCTCAAGATTGGCACAAGCTGATAATGCACTAATAAACGTGAATTTATCAGGAAGCAACAAAGAATCCCTCAGCATATTACCAAATGTACCCAGAGCATCGTTATCAAACCCATGTTGATTGTAACCTGCAATCATCGAATTCCACGTCACTATATCTCTCTCACTCATCCTTTCAAATTGTCCATGTGCAAGATCAACTTGTCCATGCTGCATATGCAACGAAATCATAACATTCCAACTCGATGTATCCCTATATCCCATCCTATCAAAAATAACCCTTGTCATAATCGGATCACCAGACTTAGCATACATATTTAACAAAGAATTCACTACACTAACATAACTACTAAGCCCAAACTTAACAACAAAAGAGTGTACCTTTCGACCAATATCTAAAGCTTCAATAGCAGCACATGATGCAAGAACACTAGTAATCGTGTACTGCGTTGGTGTAACTCGTTCTTTAATCATTTTACCGAACACTTTTATAGCACTTTCAAAACGACCCATTTTATTGCACCCCACAATCATCGTGCTCCACGAAACAGAATCACGATTCGGTATCTTATGAAAAATTTCAGTAGCTTCAGCCATTTTACCCTGTTTGGAATAAGCTGATAAAAGGGTGTTCCATGAGAAAATGGTTTTCACAGGCATTTCGTCGAACAAGATGTGAGCATCGGGAAAGGACCCGGTTCGGGAGTAAAGATTCATGAGATTGTTCAGTAAGAAGACACTAAAGTGAAGCCCAGATTTTATTATTCGGGCGTGGACCGATTTTCCGGCTAAGAGGTCTTTGGATTTGAGACATGCTTGGAGGAGACAAGCGTTGTGATATGACAAAGAGGATGGGTCTGGGATCTCCATTTAATTATGGAATTAAGAGAATAAATTAGAATTAACAACAAATACGAGGTTTGGTTTTGTTAAATTTTTTGTGATAAGGACAAGTGAAATGGTGTTTTCTTCTTTGCATTTAAGGATTGGACTCAAGTCTTTTACGATGGACTCGTGGAGTCATGACTTCAATTGACGTGTCTGCTCGGAGACCAATATATGGTAGTTATTTGACTTATTGTTTATCATCGAGAGAGGCTGGCTTAATTCTTCGGATCGTTTTTTTCGACGTTAAGTAATTTTAGATTCGAAATCAGTGAATGATTTTTAATGGGAATTATTTTAAATGTACTATTTATAATTATTGTTTTTTAAATAAATTAAATATAATATATTTTATCATATTGAATAATTTATTTATCATTAAATTTATCCTACAAAAAATTTTTTGACTTATTGTTTAACTCAAACTCGCTACTTGAATTACTTGAGCTTGGAATGGAGTTTTCAATATTCAATTGCCATGCAAGCAAATAGTCCCATAAAATGGCCTATCAGAAACCGGCAGGGAACCCTCCTTTTCTAGGGTCACTAACTGCCACAAGTTTCCCAATGCCTCCATTTCTCTTCAAACCATCTGAGTCATGAACTATGAATTGGCAAATAGTCCCACCGGCAAGGCCTTGTAGGACATGGCCCTTCTTGTGAAGGTCTCTCCTGATATGAGCAGGGATTTCAAAATGGTCTCCAATCACAGTTGTCCAGTTCTCATATATCACCACATTGGGTATCAGCTGCATAAAACACAGTGAGAGCGAATCAGATACTTAGCCAGCCTTCGCCTGTCTTGCTTAATCGGTCAAGAAAAGCAAAGCCATGAGTTTGCAGCAAAAACCTGATGGTAGATCCTTGGTGCCATGACAGAAGAGAGTGTATCCATCCCCCTAGCAAAATGATTCAAGAAAACCTCTGTAGTCCCAGCAATGATATTAGCTCCTCCACTTGCACCCACTACACCTTTCAGTTTCTCATCCTGCAGAAACATGAACAGGATCCACTTTAACAGAAAATAGGATAGAAACCAATGATTTTAAGAAGTTAGATTAACCTTTAATACAATTGTAGGTGTCATAGACGATAAGGGCCTTTTGCCAGGGCGTATGAAGTTGGGTGGTGCTGGGGGTGGAGTATTTCCAGAGCTATTCCTGGGCATTGAGAAATCATCCATTTCGTTATTCAGGACTATTCCTGTACTTGGCGACAGTATTTTTGAACCAAAGTATGCATTCACTGTATTAGTCATTGATACAGCATTTCGCTTGCCATCCACAATGGATACATGGCTGGTTCCATGATCATGAATTTGGTTCCACCTACCAATAGATGCAAAGTTAATCGTATGTAGAAAAGCAAACATGAGAATACAACAGAATATAATGAAAATTTTGGCAACATTTAAAGGTAATTTGCTAAATGCTGTACTGTGCCTGTGCCCTGCGGTTGAATGAAGTAGTCTACCTTCCACCATAGTGACTGGGGCCAAAAGTCATGTTGTCATAAATGGTTTTCTTCAACTCCTGTGCAAACTTGGGAGATAGCATATCGGCTACAACTTTAGAAACATCGACAAATTTAGGATCACCTAGATTCATCCTCACAGCAAATGCATGTTTCAAAGCTTCAATTAGTCTATGGATTCCAAGTGATCCTGAAATGCCAGAAGGGACTCCATATTGAGCAAGAATATTCAATATCTGTTACAGGAAAATCAAAGAAGGCCAAGTTATAGTTTCCCTTATTTTTTGAGAAATTATAAGAGAGGCAAAGTATGAACCAGAATACACTTACAAGCATCATTGAAACACCCCCTGAGGAAGGAGGTGGCATGCTAAGAATTTTAAGGCCTAGAATATTAGCTGAGATTGGTTCCCTCATTTTAACTTCATACTTCTTCAGGTCATTTAATGTCAGTATCCCTCCAGCATTTTGAATATCTCTTACCAAATTAAATCCAATTGATCCATTATAGAAAGCCTCCACACCGTATATTGAAATCTTTCGAAGAGTTTCTGCTAGTTTCTTATTGTAACAGATGTGGCCTACTTGCAAAAGCTCCCCATTTGATGTGAAGATGTCACGGAGCCCCTTATCTGCAAAGATTGCTGATTTTGAACTTTCCATCTGCATGCGGAGAAATGGTGAAATTTTGAATCCTTGCCGAGCTAGAATCTCAGCAGGTTTCACGAGCCTTTCCCATGGAAGCCTTCCATGTTCTTTCCAAGCTTTGTGAAGGCCTGCAAGTTCCCCTGGCACAGCTACAGAGAGGGCACCCATTGCCTTTAGAGTAGCATTGCCAGCATACATATTCTGAATAGGGAAAAAGATGGAATAATTAATGAAGAAAATGCCAAAGATGGATTGGACATATCAGTAGAAAAACTAGTAAATTCTGTCAATCAATGTGTGTTTACCTGGGAAGCTTTCATTGGAGCTGTTTCTCTCATATCAAATGCCTGCGTCTTCCCATTAGCTTCCCTGAGTAGCATGAAGGCTCCCCCACCTATGCCACTTGATGCCGGGCTTACAACGCCTAAGCAAAGGGAAGCAGCCACTGCTGCATCAACAGCATGACCTCCTATCCGAAGAACATCCATCCCAATCTTCGAACATCGGCCATCATCAGTAGCAACTGCACCATGGCGCGCAACAATTTCCTCACGTCTCTGTTTGGTAGAAGCACTTATACCATCCTGACTAGAAGTAGCAGGGGACACCAGAAAGAAGAGAAAAGCAATGGTGGCCCACAATAATAGCCCAACTGCAACCCAGTAAAATCCAGGATTGTTGAGTTCCCAAAACAACCCCATCACATGAATCAAACAATATCTTCAATTTCTTCATAGTGAGAGTTATGTTTCTTTACCTTCTAATAATCTTGTACAAACGGTGATTATAAGAAAAACCAAATATTCAAGTAACCAAAAGGAAAACAAGAATTGCTTACATGACATTTTCTTGTCTCTTCTGTCTTTCTTCATCCTTTTGTTTTCCTCCTCCTCATAAGATGAATCAAGTTACTGAAACTGGAGTTTCAATCTCATCAAACGTGAAAGATATTATTAGTATTAAAACAAGCATGCAGCTACTAAACATTAGTATTTAACTTCAATTTTTCAGATTTTAGATTATCAAGAATTGAATTCCGATCATTGAAACTAAGAGTTCAATACTCTATATGATATCTTATTTCAAGCCAGCATTTCAGTTAAAACAAGTAAAAAGTAAAACCAATAAGAATGCAAAGATTTCTTACATGATATGTTGTCTGAATCTTCATGATTCTTCCCTTTTCTTTTTCTTTCTGGTTCTCTTCTCTTCCTTGCAATAATGAATCGGGCAACTTCAGTTGGAGTTGCAAATTACAAGTATAAATCCTTGTCGATGCTGGTGGTGTGTGTTTGAATCTGATGATGGATCAATCAATTCAGGGAAAACATATAATGAATGCCATTTTTCCAATTAAAAACGACAGCATATGGAATATAATACCATTTTACCTACTGAAAATGACAATGCAATCTTTCCTGCATGCTGTCTTTTGATCGATAATCTCAAAGTCTTTGATTTAAAAATCTTTAATTTCTTCGAGTTGTACCAATTTTTTATTTAAATATTCATTTGAAGAAATTTGTAATATACTATTATTTATTAATATAAATATGTTATTGGACTAAGTCTTAAAATTTGGCCCATGACTGTAGTAGAGTCAGGCCACGCCAATGGCTTCTACATAGGTATGTACACTATTGATGTGCAAAATGAGAAAAACATCTCATCATTATCATGATTCCTATTGAAGTATATGCTTGGGGGGTGGACATAGGACGAACGATTTTAAAACGGACTTTCTATTAATTATATAGAGAAGATCATCAAAATCTCGTGATCCGAAGAAATTTGTAGACTTTTTTTTATGTGCTAAGGAGCATAGTCCAAATATTACATTAGAAAACTCTTAAGATAATCAACCCCTATAAGATAAGTTATTTAAGACAAAATTCAAATCTTTAGAGGCTAAAATTTTTAGATTTTAACAACTAATACAAAACCTAATCACATGTTCATGTGCATGCCACCAACACCTTGTCTCAAAGGCAAAGAAGAGTTCAAGTCTCAAATTTAAATCTTTTATGTTGATTTGATTTGGTTTGGTAATTTATTTGTTTGATTGATTTGTATATTAATTTCTTCCATGAATATTAAATTTAATTATTATTATAATTTTGGCTTATAATATGTAACATCATTTAAGAAAAAAAAAGAAAGTAAAAAAAAAATTATTGGCATAAACCATTGGAATATATGAGAAGAACTAAGAAGTACAAAAAAAAAATTATCAAAGTTTTTAATTATGAATCTTAAAATAAATAATATGAAATTACGTGATAAAAAATTATTATTATTGATTTAGTTATTGAATATCACATATATAAAATAAAATTTAATTGATGAAAAAATAATTTAAATTAATTTTTTAAAATAGTAGATATACATAATTATACGTGTTAAATGCTTATATGCATATAAAGATTTAAATATGTTAATTAAAACTTAAGAAACAATTTGAAGATATATTTTTTTAATAAAGAAATATCATAACCCGAAAATAAAAAAATTACCGATTTTAAAAGTAATGGACAAAAAACAATTTTTTTATGAGTGAAGAAAAAGATTAAATTCCAACGTAGGCAAGTGATTTAAAGCCCATTCGAAGCCCAGTATTCATGAAATATTTTCCTGCTCTGCCCTTTGAATCGAAAGTTCGTATTCCAGGCCCAGAAAAAAAAAAAAAAAAGCCTTTGCAAAATTCAAAAGAAGAAAGCGGGACTTCACGATCCCCTCTCGCATCTTCTCCAAATTTGTAATTTCAGGTTTGGGTATTTTTCTCTTTATATTTTCCTTTTCTTTTGAATTCCAGAGGTAGTCGATCTTTGCCGTTGAGGAACAAATCTCAGCACTAAACTGGGTTTTCCCTCAATTCTCTTTTCAAAATTTAGATCTCCAAAGCTTCAGCGCTTACTCTACTTCAGGCGCCAGTACCCAAAAACAATCAGTGTAAAATGGTGAAACGTAGAGCCAAGAAAACTGTTAAAGAGGTTCCAGTAGAGGGCGATGACAAAAGAGAGGGCCAAACTGAGGGGAATAAAGTGGGATTAATCGACCGGGAAGGTATAGTTGTTCTTGAATCACCTTTTTAATATGGTAAAATTACGTTTGAATCGGTATTATAGTTTGGGTGTTTGTGATTTTTACCATTTATTTTGGTTTAGAGAACCTTTTGGGAATATAAAAATCAATTAAACTATGGAAACTGTTTTACCATTGCTCACTTTGTCATTCAATTTTTTTTTTTTTTGTTTTACTGTAACAGTTGAGCGGCAATGTGCTGCAATAAGGGCTGTGCGTGATGTGGAGATTGAACATATGCTGACTGCGTTGCATTTGCTACGCTCATATTGTACCAAGGAGCAGCTGCAAACACCCGCATTGCAATTTTTCAATGAAAATCTTCCAAATCTATCAGTTAAAAGAAATGCAGAAAATGGTCAGTTTGATGTTCTGTGGAAACATCAGGATGGTAACATATCCATTCATAATGCAGATGGAAGAGACATACATGCTTCTCTTTTACATCGTATGTCGATAGCTTATCCTTACTGCCCTGGTATTCCATCTTTTGGAGGCTTCGAGTTGTCAACTGAAAGAGGTAGTTTTAAAATTTTGGCAAAAGCGTCAGAAAAAAAGGCCCCTGAATAAAAATTCCATTATTTTAATCAATTGAGCCCTTGTTCGAGGAAAAATGGTTAACCGTTTCCGTCTGGTCGAGGCTTAATTAAGTAAAAATATATGTATAATGGTTCAATTGGATGAATATAGATGTTTAAGGGTTCAATTGATTCGAAATAGAAGATTCAGGACTTGATTGATTGCAATAAAATATCAAAAATTTAAATGATTATTGAATTTTTGTTTGAGAGTATTTTGACCCTTACGCCTAAAATTTTTTAAATTGATGGTGCTAACATAAACTATTGATTTTTCACAATAATTCTGTCTAAAATAAGTTGCTTTGTTGTTGACAGCAAGAACGAGCCTTCTACCAGCTGATAGTCTGCAGATCAAGGACTTTGTATGTTCTCTTTACCCTGCATCTGGATCTTGGAAAATAGTAGAAAGTGGCTTCCTTTGTTCTTTCCAAGGACCAAGTAGCTTTGAAGTTACAGCACTTAAGGGGTGCTGGATGTTCCTTACTCTCTTTGATCATGATCTAATGGCACCATTTCTTTAGACAATAAGCACATCAGAGCATGCTTTGCCTGTCATCCATCCATTGAGTTTATTACTAGAACTTGCAACTTAAAATTTCTGTTTTGTAGGTTTTGGAGGGGACATCGGACAGTCAGATGTTTGGAATGCATGATGCTCTTCGAACTCCTGGGGTTTGTATCTTCATTCCATTCCCACCTTCTTTGTTTGTAAATGAGGATTTAGTGATCTTTTTTTTTTTTGGCCGGGGGGGGGGGGTGAGGGTCGTTTGTGGGTGAGTGGTGGGAGTTGGGATGCAAGATCTAGCTGGGCTAAGGTTTCTTATGATAATTTTTAAGGTTTAAATTATACTTATGTCAAAACCAATATGAAAATGGACAAAGGAAATGAAATTATTATGATGAAGAAGACCATTCATAATTGGCTGGGAAAAAGGTAAATCAATAGAAAGCTTGTTCTAGTTGTATGCAAGTTTTGTTGTATATGTCCTTTGGTGGTTGTGGCAAGGATTGAGGATGAATGGGCTACCCTTATTTATGTAACTAAGCCATTGTATTGAAAAGGAAATGGGGAACGACAAGCTTAATTCTTATGAAATGTTCAGTCAGTCACTAGATAGTTTCATTGCAAAATTAAGCCAATGATCAATGATGTGCTAGTATAATTTGGAATATAGGATAGTTGTGATAATTAGGCTTTTTTTGGATGTTTAGCTGACCATCTTCTGTCCACAAAACATGCTCAATAGTAGTCTACCTACCCAGGGACTTCATCAACTTAGCTAACCGGAACCTGCAATTATAAAACTATACCAAAAAATGAACTCTTCCCCTTTATCACTATCATGTAATCCCTGATTATTACACTTTGAAACTAAAGAAGCATTTTTTGTTTTGGTTTGAAATTTAGACTTTCATTATTTTATCTTGCTGTCATAGGCAATCTAATAATGGCTTCTGTTCGGTTATCATTGATAGAATGGTTTATCTTATTCTGCTATTATTCCAGGTGACCAGCCAAAGGTTATCAATTGGAATGACACCCAAAACTCTGAGATTGCCTAAGCCTGGGGAGATGCTTCTTTCTGTCCATGGCTCACCCCTTGGTGTCTACAAGGAGGATAATATGGAAGCTATACATGGTATACTTTTATTCGACTTTATCCATTTTCTTTCTGATTTTCAAGGTCAATATTCTGCAGGTTGCTGCTTCGCCCTTTTAAGTGGAAGTAATTTGAAACCTCTGAACAAGCAAATCATTTTGCTTTCCCTTACTAAAATATAATGGTTGATGCCTTTACCTTAATATGCAATATGTTCTTAAAATGCAGATACTATCCCTTTGTCATTGTTCTGATTTCTGAAATTTTGCTTGCAGAGTCAGAGGAGGGGTGATCGACTTCCAACTGTTCAGTCTGTTATGATGGTTAAATCTATTCAACAATTGCAAGAAATTTCCATGTCCTTGCATCATTATACATCTGGTTATTATTGTAACACTGTGATACCTTGAAGATAGAATCATTAATATATTGACCAGAATTTAAAACACTATTCTGTCAGAAAACAGAATCAAATCTGCAATGCAAGTCTTCTAAATTCTGCAATTTTACCTTTAACAATAAAGCAGCTTATTTGTACAAGTAAGGAATTATTCCTATTCTAAGTCATTGTGAACAAATTATATAAACATGTTTTAGACAATGCAACTTCAACTTCAGTATACCATCTTAGTTGCCCATCATGAACGTAGCAGTGTTCCATTATGGAACATGTCATGTTGTGAACATTAATCAGCAGGAAAATGAGGGCAGGTGCATATTCGTAATCAGCCTGTGAATTCCCTGTTCATAGTTTGAGGAGGATATCAAGTGTCCGAGCTCTTCATGACCAATCCATGTATGGACAAAGCCTGCAATACAAGAAATATTCTGTATTTGTCCTTATTCCTCAGCGTTACTGACTGAATTTAGATTAAATCAGCAAACTGAACAGCAAGACAAATATGGAAAAGGTAATGCAAACAGGTTGCTATTTGGAAAAAGCAGCTTAGAACTAAGATAAACTAGATATCAGAAAAGACCAATGAGCCAATACTCAGGCAAAGATGGCTCTCACTGGATCCTATATTATATTAAAAATCTTCAGAAAAGCTTTTGCTTCTGAAAGGTGGTTTCTAGCATACAGATGCTTGAAAAAATCACGCCTAACATCTTGCTGACTGGTGCTGCAATGAAATGCAGATTGAATTCATAACAATATGATTACATCTGTGAATTTTGCAGAGAATTTTACAAACAATATTATAGTTTGGAATAAAAAATCAAGCAGAGAAAGTGATTCTCATGAAAAAAGGCATAGGTTTAGAAATGCAAATAGAAAATAACAGAAAATAGGAGACATACCACATTTTGTGGGGACAACAGTCAATCACTGCTGCAATATAGGCCTTTTGAATCATGCTTAGTTGGAAGGAGATCAGAAGAATACGTAAACCAATCAATTAATTACTTCCCCCAGTTTTTGCACTATTCTCTGGCCTGCCACTCTTTGTCGCACTAACAGAACCTGGATTAGCTGGTAAAGATCCAAAAGCTTCTAGAGCCTCAAGGAAGAACCTCTTATTAGGGACCACACCATCTTTTTCCATTTGCTTCACCAACTTCTGCAGAAGGTCTTTCATATTGGCCCTAGTGTAGGCCTTATATAGAAGTTTATATGTTGATGAGTCAGGAATCACCCCCATGTCATGTGCATTATCAAAAAGCCTATCTGCCTCCATGGGTAGACCATTTATGCAGTAAACTTCAAGCATGGCATTTAGGGTTGAAACTTTCATCTCCTTCCCAGAGCCAACAATCCCATCAAATATGTCCCTAGCCCTAGAAACACAGTCACAAAAGCCATACATCATTATAAGACTCTCATAGGTGATAAAACTTGGTGTGTATTTCATATCAGTCATCTTTTTGAAAATGTTTTCTGCTCTCTCCTTAAGCCGTGCCTTCCCATAGTTTATGATCATCGAATTAAATGTAGGGAGGGTAGGTTTCTCCTTGGAGCGTAACAAGCTCTTAAACACTTGTTCCATCTTATCGAATTCTTGCTTCTTGCCATAAGAATCAATAAGAATATTAAACGTAATAATATCAGGCTTACACTGATTGCTCTTCATTCGAGTAAGAACATACTCCATCTCTCTGATCATCCCATTTTTCCCATATGCATCCATCACGCCGTTAAACGTATATATATCAGGTGCAATAATGCTCTCAGCAAGATCCTTAAACAAAGCATTAACTTGATCCACATTTCGAGCTTGAGCAAAGGCTCTCAAAAGAATATTGTATGTGACAACATTGGGTTTACACCACTCCATTCCCTTCATCTTGTTAAAGTACCCAAGAGCTTTGTCCAAAGCTTTTGCTTTGTCATTGGAATGGAGGTGGGCTGTGATAAGAGCATTATAAACAGAAGCATCAGGCCGACAACCACTATTACGCATCTCAGAGAAGAGCCACATAGCCATTCTAGTTTGCCCTTTCTTTCCCATAACCGTAATTAATTTAGAATAAACCCCATTATCGGCAATGTACCAGCGTTGTTTCTGCATCCATCTGAAAACCTGAATGGTACAATATGTAAGTAAACAAACCCATTTATTTCAGGGAAAGACTTACAATATGTAAGTAAACAAACCCATTTATTTCAAGTTAAGACTTAGACAATGTTCCTTCAGAAAGTTCACTATTAGAAATGATTAAATAAAAACTAAAATCAAAAATCAAAATCGATAAATTGAAAGATTTCATTACATAGATTAAGTGTGCAAAATTTGAAAAAAATTTAATAAATCTATATATATATTTTTTATAGACATTTTTAGTAAAAATGTTGACAGAATTTTTACCGTTAAATAAGTATCGATCAAATTTGAATTATAAACAACATTTTTAATAATTTTTTTACATGTTATTGATCTTCACATTGAACTCTATCAATCTATTGGCTTGGGTTTTTTTATCAAAGTTTCTATTAAATCATTTTTAAGAAGGAACTTCACAAACATCACCTAAAGAACTTCATTAAAGTTTTGTCCTTTATTTCATCGAATGCCTTTACCAATTTCCAATAGTAATGGCCCTCTTTGTAACATGTGCTTGCTCCATTTCAAGCAATTCAAAACTCAAATGATTGGTCACTTCAAAAACTTAACTTTTCAAACACATAAATGTAAAAAACCCTTCTTTTTAGACAAAACAATTACATCTTTAGTTTTTAAATTTTCTAAAACATTTTTTGACCTAAATCATATCAAGAATAAACCTTCAAATCACAGTTCCAAATACTCTAAAACCTTAACATGATCCAAAAAATAAAATAAAATAAAATAAAATAAGCGAGAAACAAACAAACCTCAAGGCATTGAAGCCATTTATCAGATTTGCCAAGCTCTTCAAACAGAAGAAAACAGTGCTCACATCTCACAACTTTCACGCATCTGTTCAATGTCTTAACCAACGGTTCTTTATCGGTGAAACTTCTCATTAAGACCCGAACCAGTTCCTGGGCTTCCGCTTCGTCGGCCTTTGAAGAGCTCCTTTTTCTCCTGGGTCGGGTCGAAATACACGATATTCGTCGGGTTGAAAGATGGCATGGTTGCCTTAGGGTCGATACGTAAATTTGTGAGGAATTTTGGGTTAATGGAGAAGGGAATGCGGCCAGTCGCAGAGAGTAAGGTGATAAAATTAGGGCCATTTTTTTTTCCTTTTCTTTTGCCTTCCGTCGTTTGGAGAACATAGGGGCTTTGAGAAGGAAGTAAACGACGACGTATGGCGTACAAAAGTAGGGTTCCGTTGTTTGGAGAATATAGGGGCCATGAAAAGGAAGTAAACGGCGACGTATGGGGCACAAAATTAGCGAAAAAGAAAGATCCGCTTGGGATCGGGGTTTTGAACCCGACGTGAATCGAACACGCAACCTTCTGATCTGGAGTCAGACGCGCTACCATTGCGCCACAGATCCCCTGGTGTTGTAAGGTGACCCGTAAATTTAAATTAAAAAAAGATAAAAAAACAGAAGCTGAAATTCAATAATCATCACTTTTTTTTTTTTTTACAATTAATTAAACTCGAATATTTATTTTTATCAATTCAACCAAAAGGAAAATTAATTAATTATTTTTGTCCAATCGATGACTTATTTGAGTGAAAATAAATGTATAATGATTTAATTGGGTGAGAATATATATTTAAAGATTTAACTAATTTTGAATAGAAGATATAAAATTTAATTGATTGTAATAAAATATTAAAATATTAATTAATTATTAATTTTTTATTTGAAGATTTTTTTAACCCTAACGGCTAACACAAACATTTAGGAGTGTCCAACTCCAACTACAATACATGAAAACCATAAAAACAAAAAACTGATGAAAATAAATTTGTTAAAGCTTCTAAATCTTGATGTTTAACTTTTTTTTTTTTTAAGTCCATATTCGAGTCCCAATCTTTAGGGTCAAATATGAACTAAAATATATATATAAATTTTGTATAAATTGGTGTAAAACAATAAAACCATATTAAGATAGCAAATTGTAAAATTTTTTATAAATATATGTATATTTTAAAAAATAAAATTTTAGTTGTATATCAATATTATTTATATTAATTAATTAATCTTTCATAATTCATTAATAATTTTTTTGACATTTAATAACTCTTGTAACATAGTCCGAGTCATTCACTTGTAGTCTTTTTTTCTCTTATCGGGTTACATTTTTTTTGTTAAAAGAAATTAATTTTATAAGTGATCTAACCGTAATTTAGCATTATTTTTATTTTTGAGCCTCATAAAATTAGGGGCAAATGGTTATTAATTTGATCATTTAAGATAAATATAGTGATTTATGTATTCATATCGTATAAAATATTAAAATTTATATATTTATATTGTATTATTTATAAAAATTATATGTTATAATTTATATCAACATAAAATTATAAAATATAATTTTTTATTTTATTAAATTTATAAATAAAAATTATTATAATTTTAAATTATATTATTTTTAAATTTTATTTTTAAATCATATTCATCACATATCATTGAAATAGTATCAGATAGTATTGTTAGGACTCTACTACCTGGAGAGCCCAAAACTGAAGCCGTCAGTTGTCAGAGCCTTGATCGTACTAATTATCGCTGTGCATAAGAAATGGTATCAGAGCTTGAAGCTTGCCAAGATAGTGAGAAGAAAAATATGTTTTTAAGCCTTGATTATTGAAGTTGGAAAACAAAAAGCTAAAAGAGAGTCTTATTTTCATGGATCTATCAACTATTAGCAACTTTAGTTCTCAACCTTCTTCTTTTAGATTTTCTTTTAGTTTGTCTTCTCCTCTTTCTCCTGTACTTAAAAAACCTTCCTCTTCTAAGTTCAAGTTCTTATATGAAGTAGATTATATTTCAGAAGAAAAAAAAACCCAACAAACAATTCTTCCCCTTGTAAATCTTTATACAGCTTTCTCAAACTCCTCTCCTTCTTTTACTAGATCTTTAAAAACCTTTTTAAATTCAAAATACCAAGCTTCAAAATAGTATGTTCAAGCCACAAACTTTGATCAATGTATTCTTTTCGCAGGACCTCAAGAGCACTTTGTTACTCTTCAGATCCCAGAAGAATTTCCTCAAAAGTGGTCAGAACAATGATATACTCATATCTACTTTGATGCTATTAGAATAGCCTTAACCTTTCACGACAGAAATGAAATTCCTGTATGTACCAAAATGGCCTTGTTGGACACAAGATTTAAATAATACAAGCATACAGTCTTTGGCATAGTTGAGACAACGTTCAAAGCAGGAACTGTCTTCTTCACAGTCTTTCCAAATTATAATGTCTCTTCACGATCCAACATTGTTAGATGCTTTAAAAGTTTAAGTCCAGATTGTAGGCATAGAAATAAAAGGACTCCAGGTAACCTTTCACTACCAGATGGCATATAGAGTTCAAGATCATGCCATTAACTTGCCTCTTTCACACTCTAGTGATGCTATTTTTGTTAAAATGGAAGTAGCAGACAAGACTCCTAAACATGTTCATATTCCAAAGCAAATCTCAAATGAAGAACTTGCCACCCTTCTCCCAAAGACATGGACAACAAGTTATCAAAAGATTTGAAAGTAAGATGAACCAATTGAACAAATTGAACACTTTGATTTAACTTACAAGATAAATCATGATGGTACTGTCATAATTGAGTTTGATCACAATAAAGAAAAAGATGTCCCTCTTCCAACAATCTTTTCAACATAATTTATGATGCAAAGATGTCAAGCTGATCTCCTTGATGTTTCAGTCGCACACTTTCAGTCCAATGGAAATCCTGTGTACGCATATAGATCTCTACAAGGACATTGTTATTGGGACATAAATTGTAAATGTAAAGAATGCCAGATAGACACATATAGAAGCTTCTTAGATGATGATGATGTTTTAAAAAAGTAAAAGAAGAAAAAGTCTTCCCAGTAAAAGCTCAAAGAAAGATATGAGAATGGAGACCCTGAAGTTGATCTCCTTAGTGAACCCTCAGAAAAGTTTGACTACTATATCATCTAGCCTAAGAAAGAAAAACCACTCCCTCAAACCTACCCAAATTAAACCACACAAAAACAAGATTCCACCCAACCTTTACCATAAATTTCCATGATGCAACCAACCTACCCAAGCTCAAATTTCTCTCATTTTCAAGAGTTTTACAAAGACCAGTACAAACACATTTCAAAAATCCCAACTCCTATTGACAGATATGAATATGGGAACCCAAAAAGTGTTTCTCGTGCTGAAATAGTTTTAAACTGGCAAACTAAAAATTTTCTCCAGCATAATACATACCTGCACAGAATTGAACATAAGTTGGACCAAGTCAGTCATCATTTTGATCAGAGCCTTGTCAATTTTCAAAATATTATTCTTGAAATTCAGTCAAGGATAATAATACTTGATCAAGAACTTAGATATATGGTTGAAACTAACACTAGATTCACTTATGCTTTCACTGAATGAGAGAAAAAAAATGAAGAGCCTAAAGATTCAACTTGCAGACCTTCAAAATCAGTTTCGTCAGAAACAACAACAACAACAATAGGCAGCTTCTAGTTACAACATCTTCACACCACTTCACATTGGCATGCATGACACTCCTTACCAAGCCTATACTCCTCCTCCATTTCAACCATACAATCCTTCAACCTTACCTCCAAAACTTTTTTTCACACATTTTCAGTACAAACCTCCCCCAACATCTATCGCAACATTCTCACAACTAACACAATACTTCACTCCTATCTCCGACCAACCAGAACAACCTTCATTTGGTACAACTAAAAAATGGATTCATAGATTTTGAAAAAAACAACCAGTTGATCCAAAATAAAAAAGAGTTACAGAACAACCATTTTCTCAACCTTCAAAACCAAAACCAAGCTCAAGTTCCACACCTCAAAACCCTACACCACAACCAAACCAAAAACCTGTACAACTCATGATTTCTCTTACATAAACCCTTTCAGAAATACTTCATCAAATGGCACAAGATAATCTCCCTCAATTCTTTCTTAAAGATATTTTTTTTCTACCTTTGAGACTGAATCCCACATAGACACTATCAAATCAGATGACTCAATTGAAGCAGATGATACTAATGACTCATATGAGACAATGCTCCCTCAGATCTTCATGACAGAACCAATAGTTAAAGTTTCAGATGATACTCCAGAAGTTTACAACCTTGATGCAATAGACACTGAACAACACCCTCCTCTACAACAATCACATGTTCCTCATTCGACATCAAAGTTTTCAATTTTTACCATTGATGATATTTTTCCTTCAAAATGGCCCTCAATGTTCCAAGAGTTCTTAGCATGGGGACTAGTTGAATTAAACTCTCATTCCAATGTTACGATGAACACATTATTGATCAGATTTATTTTCAGACTAGTTGAAACTCTGAAAAACTTTTAGGATAACATTGGTGAATACAAACAACTTCAGTTTTTTCAATGCCCAACAATCACAGAAACTATCTCTCAATTTACAGCAATCTTTTATGGATAAAAAATTCACAGATTGAAAAAGATCAAAGAATAATTTATAAACTAAAATGTTGTTCTCTCCATCCAAAAGACCTTGATAGACACTATCAATAATTCTCTTAGTATTTTTACATACTTGGTGGATTTGATGATGTCAACTTAAAGCAAGCCTTTCGTAATTTTGTTTCAGAAGAACTTGTACAGTAAATAAGGACCCAGTTAAACCTCAAATCTTTTAATATTAGATTTATGACCCTTAAAGATATCTATAAGATGATGTTGAAAATACTTGACAAGATTTACAAAAAGTACAGACACATCAAAACCTTGGTGAACAACTTTAAAAAATTAGAAAAGCCATACTCTTACTCTTTTTTAGGCCTTCAAATCAAATGTTCTTCCAAAGATCCCACATATTTTTACAACAATAAGAAAAAAAATATTTCAAAAGATTCAGACCTTTTAGACCTCCAATCTTCTCAAGGCCTAGACATAAAAAGCTCTTCAGATATGCTAATAAGCTAAAAAAATTTCAAAGATTCAAGTTTACAAGAAAGAAGAAAGACCCAAAATCAAAAGTTTAAAATATTTTTTTATGAAAAATCAAAATATTTTTCAAAGAATTACCCAAAGTCAGACAAAAAATCAGTCAAGCTAATCTAAGACATTGCTAATATCTCTAGTATCAATCTCTCAAATGATGATCTTGAATCAATTTTCTCCCTTGATGATGAACAAAATTAAAGATCCCTGTTTATAATCAAGCAGTTTGATGATGTTGAGTTTGAAGATTCAGATTACTCAGAATACTCAGATGACTTCACAGATGATCAATGTTATGAGTATATGTCAGTTTAAAAACTCTAAAAAATTTAAACTCTT